GGAAGCTCCTCGGTCTCTGCTTATTCACCTTGGGTAACGATCAAAGTGATATACGGTCCAAGTCGGCACAAGTCTTGCGCACAGTTGAAGAGCGGCAACAACCGGCGCGAAACTCCAAGATACAAGACTTTGATATCAGCATATCTGATAAAACCAAGGCTGTCTACAAACTTGCTCAGTTCGAAATATCCAAGCGACTGGCTAAACAACACACTGAGTTGGCATTTTACATCTTTTCCGAGTTTACTTACTACTTTAAGGAGGTAGGGTCAGTGGCCCAAAGGAACGTGGTTGCCATCATCCTTCCTTGGATTCAGTCAATCGAGCTGACCGTCGACCCCAATGGTGGTCCAACCGCACAATCATATGTGCTTCTTGCCAACCTCCTGGAAATCACCATCAAGTCGAGCGCAGCCCTGCACAACGAGGTCCAGGCACTCTGGCAGGCTCTGGCGACAGGTCCTCACCCGGGCAATGTGAGGCTGATTCTGGACTTCATCATGTCCATTTGCCTGGAACGACGGGAGCAAAATTTTGTTGAATATGCCAAGCAGATCGTGGTCTTCCTCGCTAGCACTAGCAGTGCCCCTGGAAACGAGGTGATAGAGTTTCTGCTCATGCAAATTACGCCAAAGTCCATGGTAACTAACGACAAACGGGAAGCCGTGCCGCCGCCGCCTGATATCAACACCTTGCCTTACTGTGCAGATCTCTCAGAGGTGCTCCCCATAGGGACAAAACAGGCTGGCTTCTCTCTAGGACAACTATCTTTGATACTGCTAGTTGATCTTATGGTGGCTCCAGCTTGCCTTGTTCCTGATAATGTGCCTGTGTTACTTCAGGTGGTCACGGTGCTATGGGATCACTACACTGCGCTTGTCCAAGAGCAAGCCCGTGAGATGCTGGTGCATCTTATCCACGAACTGGTTATTTCGAGACTCGATGACGACGTTCCCCAGTCCAGAAGAGAAAGCATCGAAGGTCTGATCGATGCTATTCGCCGCCATGACCGGTCTGTAGTGTGGGGCTACGAAGATAGCAATGGCAATGTTGGCGCTCACGACAACAAGGTGCCCCCGAGCATGGAATATCTGACCGGCGAAATGGTCAAGACTTTCGAGATTACATTTCCCGGCATCAAAGAGAAGTGGGGCAGGCTCTCCCTGACTTGGGCAACATCTTGTCCAGTTAGACATCTTGCTTGTCGATCGTTTCAGATCTTCAGGTGCATCTTGACGTCTCTTGATCACTACATGCTAGGGGACATGATCGCCAGGCTCTGCAGTACTATTTCTGACGAGGATACTGAACTTCAGAAATTCTCAATGGAAGTGCTGACGACTTTGAAGACACTCGTGGCAAAGTTGGATGCCGACAAGCTACTCACTTTTCCGCAGCTGTTCTGGACCACATGTGCATGCTTGGAGTCCATCAATGAGTGCGAGTTTCTGGAGGCGGTCGAAATGCTCAATGAGTTTCTAGATAAGCTGGACTTCCATTCGCCGACCGTTCGGAGGGTATTGCTCGATGGCCAGCCTTCTAAATGGGACGGCGCGTTTGAAGGTTTACAGCCTCTTCTGTACAAGGGTCTACGGTCTTCTAGCTGTCTGGATTTGACCTTGACAATACTCGATAAGCTTATTCTGCTTCCCAGTGATCCTTTGATAGGAGACGGTGGCCGCTTCTTCTTTACTATTTTGGCTAACTTTCCTCGCCTCCTGTACGCCATGGAGGAGGAGTCCCCTGATCCAGCTGTTGTGCCAACCGTCGAGACTCTCTTACACATCGCTGATGTTCAGGGTATGCGGAGCATTGCTGTCGCTTTGGATGAATATCTCGGACACCGATATGCGTCTACCAAGGATTTTGTGGTCCAGCTGTACGCAGCTCTACGGGAGTATTACTTGCCTGATCTGGAATTCCAGATGCTCACAATGCTGATGGGGTTACTGACCAATGCCACCGCTTGGGTCAAAATTCACACCATGCGGATCCTCCGGGTCATCATAACTGAGGTGGACATGAAGAAGCCAGAGATTGCTAGCCACGGGTCTGACATGATCTCGCCGCTTCTGCGCCTGCTCCAAACCGAGTACTGCATGGAGGCTCTCGAAGTGCTCGACAACATCATGAGCATGTCTGGCTCATCTATGGACAAGCACCATCTCCGAATGAGCATGACACGTCTCACCTCCAAAGCCGTCCGAAAAGAATACGAGCGAGCACAGAGCCTGTTCGGCATCCCGGAGGCGTCTGGTTGGGCTATCCCCATGCCGGCACGCAAGACCGAGTCGACGCGCGCAAACACCCACGCTGTATTCTACATGTGCCAAATGAACTCCCAGAGTATGGACGGTGGCATGCCCGAGAGCGACATCCCTACGCCTGCCGAGATGGAATTTGAATTCGAGTTCCACGATGAATATGCCTATGGATACCTCCCTGTTTCCGATAGGGCTGATACCATGATGTCAGACGACGCACGCGGGCTGGAGCATGCGCCCATGGGTGATCTCATCTCCAAGCTGGATAGTCTTGATGACTTCTTCGACGGCCTGTCGTCGACTGGCCCGCCTAGTGAAGGGCGATCATCCAGGACCGTTACAGAGTTCTCTCCGGATAGCTTCGACTTGGGTGCGCAACTTTATGACGAGCAAATCCTACCCATACTACACCAAGCGTCGGCATATAACAACAATAACAACATCACTGCGGCCTTCCAAAGCGGTTTTGCGGATAGACCAAGCTTATTCTCGGGAGGCGGGCCTGGACCAGCTGTAGTCGCGGGGTCTACCACTTCCTCGCCCATAAGCCCCTCAATGATGCACCCTGCCACGTTTGGCAGCATCAGCAGCATTGTAGACGGAGACACCGGAGGAGGACCGGGTGGTGTAGTCATCACCTCGCCTACGGCATCGACCACCTCCACCTCCACATCCACATCCACATCCACCTCGCAACTCCGACCATTCCTGATGACCAACACCCGACCGGGACTGCATGCTAGGTCCATCACCTCCCCCTCGGCTCCGCCCTCGTACCTCGCCAACATCGGAGACTTCAACTCCGATGACGACGAGGGTATGGCCGAATATCCAGAGGACATCGGCGTCTTCTCCGATAATGACGAAGACCAGTACCAGAGACCTTCGACGGCAACCGGCACCGGCACAGGCGTCCTGCACTTCCACCACCCGAACTACCACATCTCATCATCTACCAGCGGGGCGGTACACGGTGCCTATTATAGCAGTGGCGGAGGAAGCGGTAGTCACAGCGCCAGTCCAAGCATCAGCGTCGGGCCTGGGCCGGCGGTGCCGCTTCACCCCGTGACATCACCATCCTTAACAACATCAGCAACAGACGGCTCCTCATCCAAGCTCGAAAGCATGATCCGCCCCTTTGCGCAGAGTACCCGATCCCGCATGCGCCGGTTGACGGGCGGAGGAAGCAGTCGGTCGAAGGAGGAGAGGCTGGTGGCGGTGGCAGCGGCTACGGGACCGTTGTCGCCACAGGTACCGAAAGTGCCGAACGCGTTTTTGCCTTTGGGTCATCAGCCACAGCAGCCACAGTCAGGTTCGAGTGCCGGATCGGGATAAGGCTTAGGACAAGCTCAGGGCCAGGGACAAGGGTTACAAGGACAGGGACAAGGGCAGGGGCATTCAGGGCGTATGTAATCAGTCGCGAGCGCAGACTCCGCTACATATTCGCGGGGGAGCTGCAGATGATGTGATAAGATATAAAGGGGAGATAGTCCGGGGAATGCGGTGCTTTTCTTCATCTTTGTAACTGGAGTACATACGTGGGGTAATAGGATATGGGAAAGCGCTTGGGATGAGGGATACCATGGGAGGAATTGTCTTGCTTTTACATGGGATATATGGTAGGCTGTGTATGTTGAATGAAACTCTCACGGATTTGGACAGTCGCAATTACTTTCTGTGGTGGTCACACTACTGTCAGTGACCATCTCCCATTGTCGATTGTCGAGAGGGAGGGAGGCATGAAAGGGGCGCCTAAAACCGGAGATTAAATATACTCGTTCGGACACAACCCCCGTCATGGTGACCGGAGGCGTCTTCCTCAACCCTCCTGAACCACAAGCCTCTGATTCCGATAGTAGGCTGCCGGAGATCACAATTCTATGCTTTTGTTTCCGAACAATTTGTCTTGTCTGAGCGGTGAGCATTCTCTTCAGCTTCCTCTTGCAGTCAGCCATGTGATCGGACCACCGCAGATACACTGTCGAGTGAATCTCGATGCCGTGCGTGGCTCTTGTCGCTTTCTGGTATTGATATTCGCAGTTGACCCACTCAGCTAGACGTCTATTGGCGGTTCGCTGCGAGTACGATAGGGCTGAAGGCCTTCCTGTCCCATCTCATCTTCTCCCTCCAATCACCACCACCGGAACTGTTTTGGTGCTTTCCGTCACTCAATCCACGCCGTTCAGCCAGTTGGAAAGCAATAAATGGATCATCAGTGCTAAGCTGATCCGATCGACGACGCCAGGGAGTCGGTGTCGCCTACGAATACTGGCCTAGCCCTAGCAGGCAAGTACGGCGTCGATAAGGTTCCCTGTGCTTCTAGGTATACGTGTATTCGTACCTCTACTACCGTGGGTTGTTCCTTGGACCGGCGACATACACGTGTAGAATCCTCTGATTTCCGGCTCCGCCATCGTCTGATCAGGTGTCGTGCCGACGCTCCTCTCGCCGTTCTTTTTTTTTTTTTGTTTTTTTGTTTTTTTTTTTCCGAGTAACGACTTTCGCACGTCTCTTCTCTGCTACATCCGTTTCATCGTGTTTCTAATAGCAACACGCCACTTGACCTATCACGAATCTGCTGTTGTTGTTTTTTTTTGTTCCCGCACGCGAGCGAGCTATTAGGCAGTCAATTCGATTTGGGATTCTGGTAACTGGGTGCGGTAGACGCATATCCAACCACTGTATACCTTCCAGGGATTTTCGCCCTGTGGACTTTTGGGGCGTTCAGCAGCAATCATGGTCAGGGCAGGAAGGCAAAAGGTCAGAACGGGCTGCTATACATGCAAGTGCGTAACTTTGTTTATTCTATCTTGCATCCCTTCCGGTCCCTTCGGTTCTCTTGAAGCGCTTATCATCTACATATCCCTACCCACTTCATACAATGAGGCTACTTCGCTCGGACCTGCCCCATATGCTGTTGGCATGATGTAACACATAAACCATACTACCACTGAGTCACCACATCCCAGCCTTGCCCTACCGAGCACCGCAACCGTCATGATGGCACTCAACAGATACTCGGCGTCTCACCTCGGTCCATTCTCATATATATACCTACCTGCTGCTCGCTATGAGAGAATCAGAGAAGGATCCATAGGCTAACAAAGAGCACGCTGCCCTTTGCACTTGCTCCGTCATGACAGGATCCGCAAAGTAAAATGTGACGAGACCAAGCCGAGCTGCCTCCGCTGCACCAAGACAGGCCGCAGGTGTGATGGCTATCCAGCCGCTCCGTTGCATTCGCAGTCATGGCAGGAGCTCTTGGCCAAACGGCCCATCATCCCGGCCATGACGCATCGTCACAACTCCCAGGAGGGCCGCGCCCTCGAGTTCTACCGGTGCGTGCTCGCGCCCACCTTCTCCGGCTCCCTAGACGACGACTTCTGGACCCACGTGGTCAGCCGTGCTAGCTACCAGAATCCCGTCGTCCGCCATGCCGTCGTTGCCATCAGTTCCATCTGCGAGCTCATCGGCGACCCCAGCGTCAAGGGGCAAGCCCTCGTCAAGTTCCCAAAGGGTCGATATGCCATCGGCCACTATAACCGCGCCCTCCAGGATATATCCAAGACGGATGATGAGGCCATGGTCATCTTTGTCTGTATTTTGTTCGTCTGTATAGAAATCCTTCAGGGCAACCGTGAGGCGGCCATCTCTCACTGCCATCATGGCGTCCAGATCCTTAACCAGCTGAACGGGGGCAAGAGCAAAGTAAACTCGTCAAGTTCCATCTTGTCGCGGGACCAGCTTCTAAACCCCTTTGCCCGTCTGAGCATCTTCCCCTTCTTCTATGGCAGCACAGTGGACGTCTTCCCCAACCTTCTCCGGCACGGGTCCGAGGCGCCAGAGTCAGACGGTACCTACGGCTCCTCCTCCGCCGCCACCTCGGCATCCGACAGCGCCCTAACGGTGCTCGACGAGCTACGCTCCGGTCTCGACCTCCTCGTCGCGCGAGCCATGCGCTTCCTCCGCTCCGCCGACCTCTACCGGATCGGGCCTTCGCGGCACGTGCCCGTCCCCTCCCACATCCTGACCGAGCAGGCCAATCTGACCAAATCGATCGATGACTGGCTGGTCCGCTTCACCATTTTCAGCGCACTGCACTCGCCCACCGAGGACGCGGCGGGCTTGTTCTACCAGATGCGCATGAAGAGCTACATCACCAAGATCTGGATTGCCACGGCGCTCGACCGTACCGAGATGGTGTACGACCGGTTTGTTCCCCTGTTCCGCGAGATCGTTGATATGGCCGGCCGCTATCTGGTCGCCGAGAAGAGCCGACCGCGAGGACCGTCACCACCTCGGGCAACTACTGCCACCGAAGAGGATGGTGGTCCCGCATCCCCGACCAACGCCAACGCCCAGAAACCCCGTTTTGTCTATGAAATGGCTTACCTCCCTATGCTCTATTTCGTTGTCATGCGCTGCCGGCACCTCGAGACCCGCGTGACTGCTTTAGAGCACATGACCACCCTATCAGCGTTGCACCAAGGACTCTGGGACTCAACACTAACCTTTTGCATCGGCTGGCGACTCATTGAAATCGAGCATGGCGCTGACCGGGAGACACTCTTGCTAGCCATGGCGCAGGCAAAGAGTTTTGGGCAGTCCATGTCCCGTACTTATTCTCGTCTAGCACCAGATTCCAATTCGTTGGTGGGGAGGATGATGCCCGGGACGACACCGATGCCCCCCGACAGGATGAGACTAAGGGAGTGTGTGATTACAGGTGATCATACCGTGGAACAAAAGGATAGCCCGGGCTCGGGCTTGAGGACGGGGTATAGAAGGGTCATTTTTCATGTGTGGAAGCCGGAGCGTGAGGGCGGGGTGGGCACGTTTGAGGAGTGGGTGCCGATTTCGGAGCCGCCGCCGATGAGGGATATGTGTTATGACTATGAGTTTGCGCAGGCGGCGGCGGCGGAGACGGAGGGGAATGAGTTGGTTGAGGTCAAGTTGGAGCCTAGCTTTGGTTTGAGCTTTGTTGAGGCAAAGCCCAATTTCGGCTCTTATTATGTTGATTCGAGAGGGGACCATGATCTACCGACTAGAACTATGCCCCCGGTTTATGATGGCTTGAGGTTGGAGGCTGTGGTGTAGTGTAGATGGAGATAATGATGGTACCGGTGTGATGGTGACTCGGATGAGGGAGAAGTTTCCATTTATTTTCTATGTGGACATGAGATAATGGGAGGTTTGGATTCTTGTCAAAAGAATAATGGGCAACCGGATAAGGGGCAAATGGGTCTTTAATAACTTGGAGAATACCCGATGCAGAAATGGAGGTGTTCTTCTTGGCTTAGATCTGAACCCAAAAACGCCGGTTGCAGCATATTGCAGGGTAAGTCCGTTTGGCTCGTTGATAGAAATTTCTGTATTCATAGGAGCGGACAACGGAACTAAGTACTTGAGTATAGGGAAATTTGTAGTCAAAAGGGCTACTGAGCGACGTATCGAAACCCATAGAGTAAAGACAACAGACTACATCGTTAAGGTCTTTATCATCATTCATCAACTCCTCCCATTTCAAGCAGCAACACCAACCTCTACCGCCCCCATCCTCAGTTCAGGAAGGCTTTCCTGCTTGGTAACCTCCACAACCCCTTCTTCCTGTTCTGCATGTACCAGCTCCTCTTCTTTCTCCTCCTCCTCCTCCTCCTCCTCCAACTCCTCCGGCCCCATCGGGAACTCACTCCCAGCAATATTGCACTGCCTAAACAACCTCACCTCGCTCTCCTCAAACGCTCCCACAACACTATGCAACGTGCCCCTATTGTGAAAGATGACCAAATCGCCCTCCTCCCAGTCATGCGCATACACCAAGCCCGGCGCAATCCCCGGCCTCTGTAATCCATAAACAATCTCCCTCACTTCCTTCAAATCCTCCACCACCGTCCCATCCCCAAGGTGTAGCCTCCTCACCGCGCTAGGATGTACCTGCAGCGCCAGCTTCCCCGTCACGGGATTCCGCCAGCACATGGGCAAGATCTGGATTTTGTCCTCTTCAATCTCGGGCAGTTCCTCCAGTGGCATCTCCTTCCCCTCCGACACTAAGCCCAGACCGGTGCTGCGTGACTTGGCGCTCGACATCCACACGTACGGATGCGGCGCATACTCGACGCGGGTCGAGCGCGCAAAGGCTTTTTGCGCTTCCGAGAGGATGTCGTACATCTTGTACCCGGACACGAAAGCGGTGGTGCCGAGGGGAACATCCAGCTCGTCGCCGGTGCCGTCGTCGTAGACGCACATCTGCCTGCGACCTTTGGGGACCTTGACGGCTAAGAGCGTGGTCACCATGGGAGGGGCGCGGGCGACGCCGCCGTAGAGAGCGGCATCGATGTGCCACCGGTAGAAACGCGTGTGGGTGAGGTCGTGGGAAGCGGGGATAGAGGTGGAGTGAAATGTGCGGTGGTGAGGGTGGCGGAGCTGGATGTTGGACAACCCTTCGTAGGTGGGGACGAAGCCGTTGCCGATGACTTGGACTTGGGGCTGGTGCGGGATGGTCTTGAGGTCGGGGTGGAGGATGGATTTGCTGCCAACCGAGCCCGAGTCGGTGTTGCCGTGGCCGTAGAGGGGGGCGGCGAGAGGGTCGAAGCGTTGCGTTAGTTCGTACTGGGCGCGCGGGCTGACGTGGGATTGGGACTTGATGACGAGGACTTGGTGGGTGAAGAGGGCGGTGCGGAGGATGGCGAAATCGCGGTCTGTTTTGGGATATAAAGTCAGTATGGATGGGTTTGAAACAAGGAACAAAGCCAGGCTTCAAGCTGAGTGGTGGCCTTACCGAGGAGGTTACCGATTTTACGGGTATTCTCCCATGTGAATGGTAGATATCAAATTGCCATGACGACGAGTAACGAGTTTCACGTTGATGCAGCCTTACCAGTTAAGTTCTCAATGTCGACTCCTGTTACCGTAGCTCCAAAGTCGAGCTTGGAGCCCTCGGGATGGGCAAGGGGGGTGATGACGGGTACGGTAGTGTCGGAAGCCATTTTGGATAGATTATTGTTTTGGTACGGTGTGACAGTCGTATATGGTGCCAAGAACTTGAGATGCACTTGATGCTATCAACTAACTTCAGACTCCAAGAGAACGGTGACAGGCCGTCATTTGTTACTTTTATACTTGAGATGCAAGCCCCCCCTCCTATCAGTTATCTGATGTTGCAGCCGTCTCATGGTGGAGTCGGCCGAGTCCGATGACGGCACAATGCACACATATGCGAAAAAGGCGGGGAGGCGGCGGGCGATCCTCAGGAACACGGGCATGCCCACATCCGGGAAGTTGGGAACTGTAGTCTGCAGTGCGGCTGCCCGGTTAGTGTACGCTATGTAGTGTACTGTGGTACAGTATGTGACTGCAGTGGTATTTGGTCCAGGAGACAACGGCGATCACTGACTGAGTGACTGTTCCCCACCGCTGCAACCACCAAGAGATAACGGACGGGGTTCTGGCTGTATCTCCTTGGCGGACCTTCCATACCTCTACCGGCCAACGGCGCCATCCGGCAAACAGCGATCAATGTTGCCCACCGCATTTTGCAGCCTTCATACACAGCCCGACGGCGGTTTGCTTCATGTTTTTGTGTTATCGGTCTGTAGGTATCTGCAAATGTTAATTGCACCAAACCGCATTATTATCTATACGATGGTTGATAAGTGAGTGGGCTTCCGTTGTTAGCTAGCTCCGTTATTGCCGATGTGACGCTACGATAAGGCCAAGGCCGGAATGCCGCCACGAATTCATGACAGGCGAGAATTACAGGTCCATTTTAAAAGGAAGAAGACGACTTCGATGCATCTCGGTTGAAAATGGTGGAAGAAGATGTCGAGGCATCGTGGGGAAGACGAGTAGGAAAGGGGAATAGTTCGGCTACCCGCGGGTCAATTTAGTGCAGTCAAGAACTGGACACTATATGCTTGAGATTTGGCCTGAAAGAGTAACCATTCAAAAACCCCTTGTGGTGTAGTTGGCTATCACGTTCGGCTGTAATTGTCTAGATTGTATACCGAAAGGTCACCGGCTCGATTCCGGTCGAGGGGAATAACTTTTACCACCTTTTTGGCTTCTTATGCTTTGCCGTTTTATCCTTTTTGTTTGTGCAACTATTCCCCTTTTGCTCCGTTGTGTGATTTTTCTTTTCGTAGTTGACTAGCAATTTTCTTGTCTATCATTGTCGCTCATCCTCTTTTTTTTTTCTTTTTTTTTTTTTTATGAAATGTTGTTGTCCTTGAACATTTGATGATGGTTACATCACCAGGTCTTCAGTTAATCAACTTGAAAAGAACATTGTCCTATAACGCAGGCATAACATCAGACAAAGTGCATCGAAGTGAGCTGAATGCAGTGGTTTCTCATCCAGATAGAATTCACGAGTACTACGAAACAGATTACATCCAACAATATCGGGTATCACCATCCTCCTCATGGTCAAGGTTCATAAGGTGTCGCATCCTTAAAGATAAGATGCGGCTTGCGCTTCGCGATATCCAAGATTGTATCCGCAAAGACTCCGTTTGCCCAAGCGAACCAGCTTCCTAAGTGTCGCAAAAATCATGTCAGCTTTGTTCACGTCTCCCGACCATCCTGTCCTGGGCTGGAAGAGTTCTTACGCGTATAAGAATGCGACCAGTTCACATCAATGCTCTCATGAATCAACCCAAGCTTGCTCGTGTTCAAAACCAGGTTCAAGCACTTCATGATTTCATCGTCATCATCTGATGTCTGTGCCTGCACCAAAAGGCTCATGGGCCATGCATTCTGCAGGCCGATATGTGGGCCTCCGATGCCCATAAACTCTCTTCTCTCCAGGTAGTACGGATTGCCGTTCTTCTCCAGCAGCATCTTGCGCGTGTTCTGATATGTCGTGTCGCCTACCGAGACATAGCCCATCAGCGGCAGCGCCAGTAAGCTAGGATAGTTGGCATCGTCCATCATCAAGGCGCTACCGTAGCCGTCAACCTCATACGCAAACACGTCGCCGTACTTGCGATGGTGGACCACGCCGTGTTCCCAGATACCCTCCGTGATCGTCTTACTCCATGCTTCCGCTGTCTCTGCCCGTGTCACATCCTTTTTATTCCCCGTCGTCCTCAACAGAGCCGCAGTCCGCTTGAGCTCCGTAGCCATCTGCGCATTGGCAGGGATGAAGAAGCCGAAGATGGTGGCATCGTCGCTGGGCCGGAACGCCGAGCGGATCAGCCCCGTTCCGTTGTTCAGCGGGTTGCCGATTCCGCCAAGATTCAGTGTCTCGGTGCCCGTGTCGGTGCGTCGCTGAAATGTGTACTGGTTGCGCCGGTACGAGCCCGTCTCCGTGTCAAACGTGCTCTTGCTTTGCGCCTCGAGAACGTCAAACACCGAGTCCAGCGCCTTGTACCACCGCGCATTGAGGAAGGCGGTGCTCTTGGTGTGGGCGTAAAAGGCGTTGGCCAGCGCGAGAAAGTGCGCGAGCGAATCTAGCTCGTACTTGCACTCGAAGACGGAGGAAGGGTCAAAGGCCGGGTGAACGGTGTCGTCTTGGCCGTTCAAGGTGACAGGCAGCCCGGAATGGGGCGGTGGCTGGAAGGCATTGCAATAGGGCGACTCGATCACGTACTCGCTTTGGGTGTTGATGGCGCCGAGGATGAGGTCGAAGATGGCCTTATCCTTGGAAGCCAGCTTCTGATACGGCTTCAGCTGGTTGGTGCTGTCACGTAGCCACTCGGCCAGAATGTCGCCCGTGATGATGAATGACTGCGGCCCTTCCCACTTGCCTGGGTCCTCGTACGTACCAGTCCATGGATCATCGTCGACAGGGCTGTCAGTCACCGTCGTCGTCTTCCTCTTTTCCTTACCGTCCCTGCCATTGGTATGGAATTTGACGGTGGTATCCGTAGTAGATGGAAAAGTGTTTTCGAAAAGACGTGCAAGGTCAGGGTTCTTCATGCGGGATGTGACATCCTTGATAACCTTCTCGATGGCGTCAGACTGAAAGGTCCGGCACCTGACATGAGGGCGCTGGAAAGGGAGGGAGAGAGGACCTTCGCTATAGGGCCGGCTGTCCACACGAATTAGCGACTGCGCCTTACCCAAGGCATGCTGAACTCACTGGGGATAAGTGGCATAGGATGCATAGTCTGGGCAAGCAGTCTCGTCGAATTTGCCCTTGATTGGCACCTGGTCCATATCCCATTTGAGCTCTGATGCCTCTACCACTGCCGGCCTCAGCAGAGGTATCGACCAAGGCAATAGCAGCGATAGCCAGGAAGTGGCGCGAGTCATAGCACTGGCTGACGTATTTCTGAACTGTTGGTTATATGGCTGCCAACGTGGTGATTGGAGCGGCTTCGCAGCTTGGATGGTTCAACTTAAGTGGTGGTGATATGGGGAATGCTTCTTGGACTCGCGATCCTTCTTGCAGATGAGAAGATTGACCCAAGCCAAGAACCAAAGCTCTGGGGCAAGAGGCTAATCATGGGTAAACCGAAACCTCGAAAAACGAAAGGGAGCAACAATACAACGTTTAGCTTGCCAACCTCCACTTGGTATGTATGAGCGAGTGACGTCGGAGCGAGACGGGAACTCGAAACCGCGATGTCCACGAGACCACTAGAATAGTGATTGCCTCCCTGCAGTTCCCTAACGTGTAACGTCTTGGCGGGGAAATAGAGTTCTGTTAGTTGCTGTCAGTGATTTCGTGCTGTAGCGGGGTGGCAGGCACAAGCCGAGAGGGCTCCAATGTTTAAGTTACTAACAGCATACTAACAACAGGAGCAAAGTGTAATTACACCAAGCCATGCTAATCAGGGCGCAACATCCTACACACATTCTTCATAACCAAATCCTTTCCTGATTACAACAATTATCTGTATCGAGTTATGAGAGAGGTACTCTCCCAGCAAACCATTTCAGGCCTCCGTCCTCTGCCACCGATTTCAGAATCGTTTTGTGCTGACTAGATCGCGTAGTTCCTTTGCATGATACTTGATGCTTGATGTGCCTCGCCGCTCGTTGTCCTCTGTTCAGACAACTTTCAAATTCAAATGCAAATCCATGCAACGATGTTTGATACATCGAGGGATAGCCTGATATCCTAGCCACGTCGCTGAAAATTTAATTTTCCTAGAAGCCCTCGTCCATCCCCTCCGGTGCGGCGAACATCGCATTCACAGCCATCCCCAACGTGTCAGCGCGCGTCGGGGCACGACCATTGAATTTGCCACCTCCGCTATGGGCTCGGTTGTTCAGGTATGCGTGCGCATCCTCCACAACCCCTTTCTGGACCGACGCTGTGAACCGCGCCGGGTCAATAATGTTCATCAACCGATGCGTCACATAGAATCGGCCCAGAGTGTCAACTTCAGTCCGCACCGCGTCCCGCTCAACTAACGCCCACCCCCATCGCGCCTTGTTGTACTTTTCGATCTCGTTTCTTGACATGACCTCTTCAATAAAGACTGGACCCAAGGACTCCGGGGCGACCACGTTGGGTGGCATGGGCGGAGTAGACCGGACGGTCTGGAAAAGATTACCCTTAAACCGGATATTCATCCCGTGGGTATCCGTAGCAATCTCCGATACAAGCATGACAGCGTTCGTCTCAGTACCACCATTGTTCTGGCCGTTGCCAACATGGCCTCCAACGACGCGTACAGGATCCCCGACACGGATCATTTCAGCCCCGAGATAGACTCCTTCGTGGAAGAGGGTATCTTGGGCGCCACTGACGTTCGAATTGTTCAGTTTGTTGAATGTGGAATAGCAATCATTGATGTACTTGGCCGCCAACTTTGACGCTTCGAGTCCGACGGTCTGCCTGGCGATGTCTAGCTGACTGGGATCCGTGAGGCCCAGACTCTGACAATATTGGACCGAGAAGGTCGGCCAGTCGATCGAGTCGTATGTCCGGTTCGCCAAGCTCGAGAAGTTCTCGCCAACACCTGGTACACTGAATGTGAGGAACGGGCGCATGGACTTGGCGTCGATATAAAAGCTTTGTTGTCCCAACGTCCGGTGGCCCAACGGTGCCACCAAGAAGTTAAAGGCCGCGTCTGGCGCAGGGCCTGGCGTTTGCCTCTTGGGAGCAATCGATAGGATCACGCCGAGCCTCCAAGCCTGATGCTTGTACCAAACCAACTCGCCTGCGCGGAAGACATTTGTGAGACTTGTAACCCCTGGGGCCGCAAATACCTGTGCCTGAGGGTTGCCCTGAGCTTGCTGCTGTCCCTGTTGCTGGTGTTGTTGCTGTTGAGTTTGTTGCATGATTTGTTGCGCCTGTTGCGCCTGTTGCATCTGTTGATTTTGTTGTTGTTGTTGCTGTTGCTGTTGCTGTTGCTGTTGCTCATGCTCTTTCTGCTGCTGCTCCTGCTGTTTTTGCTGCTGCTCTATTTGCAGCTGCCTTTGCTTTTGCCCTAGTACCTGTTGGATTTTCTGTGCGTGTTGTTGATCGGTTTGCCTCAGCTTCTGAGACTCGATCATCTTGCAGCACAGATCGCAGGAACACTGACTGTAGCCAGTGTGGTTGCTGAGCAGGAAGAGGGCGTGCAAGACGAAGTCACCGGGAGTCCGATAAACAGCCTTGCGGCCAGCCGGGTGACCGTATAGGTAGTAGTCTCTACCACCGTCCTTTCGGATGGCGCATCGCAGCTCGTACTCCTTGGGTAGAACGGCGAGCTTGTACTGCTTGTCGATTGGGAGGCCGAGTTGATGCTGCAAATGACCACCGATGATGACTTCCCAACGTTCAAGCTGCGCAACGTCCTGGTCCTCCTTGGGATCTAGTGCATTGTGGTCGAGGTTATCGTATCCCTTGCCATCACTGCGTGCGATCGTCAAGCCAAAGTAAAGATTCTTATCCTTGTCGTCGTCTTGGCCGTTGGAAGCCGACATGGTGACCATGACAGGCGCAGGCGGCGTCCTAATGACTGAGAATGGGTACGTAAAAGATGTCCTTCGCTTGAACCGTGAAAATCAACACTGTTGATTTGATAGGTAATGAAATGAAGAAAGGTTAAATGTGGGGAAGGGTTGCTTAAGAAACGATCTCAGCGATGCTGCTGCTTCAGTTTGGAGTTGCACAGTGCAATGGACGGGCTGTCGAGATCACGCAGACATAGTAGAAACACCACCACTGCAGGTACGTACAAGTAGGTCGGAAGCCCTGAAGTAGCACTGGCCACCTGCCCAACAGGTCTTGGGACGTGGTGTGTGTTCCCCTGCCAGCGCAGCAAATAACGGACGGAGAACTGACGGAAAGGAGGTTCAAGTCAGAGACACTTGACTACTAGGCAGTATCTGACACTTCGTTGGTACAATGTCCGTTGAGAGTTCCTGAAGGTTCTGAGAAATGTTTGGCTGGAATTTGGCAAACGTGACTGTCAAGATCGAAAGAAAGTCTCGAATGGAAAGTGAGCTCAACGCTGCGCCATGCCACGGTCCAGGTCGTTCAGGAACGCGCACAAGCACGGACCCCAAGTGCCCCACCATGTTGAGCTCAGGTCAGGTCGCGGGAGATATGGATGGTTCCACTCATGCACAACGCTCAGAGCCTCAGACCGTACCCCCCAGTCCGCCCCTGAGTGTGTACAAGATAATGGAACTTGGACGCATTGTAATGACTCGTATTATGTATGACCCAAACCACCACCCGCACACCAAACCCTTGAAGCATACCTACGTACTCAATCTGCCATCTTGTAGAATACGGGCACGAGCAGGGGTATTGATTCAGTAGAGGGTGCAGACTGTATATTGTGTAGAGCTCTGTTTTTTGGGGAAATCCCTCATACAGAAAATCTAATATCGAAGTAATACTAGCGTAGCCCGCTTACGTAAGGTCTAGGCTAGCTACTCTAATTACTTCTTTTATTTAATATACCCCCCTAACTAAATTAGAATCTAGGGAGGTTGTCGTTTTTAAAATTATTTATAGATTCTATACCCTTTCTATTCCTTTTCTAGTAATTACCTTTAAAGGTATCGCCTACTCCCTTTTTCTATTAATAAGGAAGGTTAACGGTACCCTTTTTAATAACTAAACCGCTAAGTCCCGTAGTTCAATAGTTAGAACGTCAGGGTATTATTCTTAATTATCCGTCTACTATCTCTTAAGTATATTTAAAAGTATAATTAGCGGATCACTTCTAAATAATATACCCGAAAGTCACAAGTTCGAATCCTGCCGGGACCAATCTTTTTACCTTTTTTCTTTTTTCTTCTTATATAATTAAGTTATTATATTAGTACCTCTTAATTTTTAGAAGTCATTTCAACCGTATAGTATAGGAAGGCTATTTATACTTATAATAATACCCTCCCAAATTTTTATCCCTTAATCGCTCTCTCTAATCAATCCTCTTCATCGACTATAATCAAATAGTTCGCTTTTATTATTACTAACTCCCTTCTCTATCCTTATCTCTCTCTAATATTTACTATATTGAATTATTTTATAAATTCCTAATATTTATATACGTTAAGCACTTTAGTAAATCTATCAGGAATTATTTTACCAGTAGGTACGTAATATATATTAATAAGGCTGCGTTATTGGCCTTCTCTAAGCTAATAATTATAAATATTAATATACTTAAGCTTAGTTTGGAGCTTAGAATTCTCTTTAGTAATAAGGCGTATCGTCTATTTATTATTACAACTGAAGGGAATAACCTCAATCCCGAATCGAAGGGTAAAAGAGTTAAAGAGCCTCTTAATTTATATACCTTTCTTTATTCCTTAAGTAAAGGATAATAACTCTACTTTAGTTATTAAAATAGTAATTGTATTTTACTTATTAATATACTAATCGATTATACTATTAAATAATTATATTGCGAATCCTTATAAACTTCTTCGGTTGTTAATATTATTAGTAAAGGAAATATTAATATAGATTTCAAATTCGTTACTTCCTCCTAATTAGAAGGTATAATAATTAGTACTGCAAAGGTATACCTTCACTCGCTCGATTATTGAATAATGAATTAGTCTAGAATTAATTAGAAAACGGGCTAGCCGGGATAGCGTAAAAATAATATTGGGTCTAATAATAATAGTAAGGTATAAAACTACGCTAATAGCCTATTAATACAATTTAATTACGTACTATATAGAGGATTAAAATTAAAAAATAAGCTCTTTAACTATTATAAGGGTATTAAAGGGTTTCTTCCTCTACTTAATTCCTTTAGTTATTTTAAAGATATACTCTCGCTATAATAACTAAAGTAAATAGCGTAGGCAGTCCCGAATAACCTTAATACTTAAAAATTACTAAATATTTTAACCGCTAATTAATTAATAGTATTGCTTAAAAGTAGTAATTACTCGCTCTACAAATAATAAATATTCTAATTTATAAATAAGGATATTATTATTAATATAAAAGAGAATAATAATACTCTCTTTAATTAATATATATAGTTCTATAAGGATAGAGGTAAGGCTAACCTCTATAAAAATTTTAATAAATTCCTTCTACTAGAATAGTAGAAAGCGCTATAACCTATAGAGAGCGTATAGAAGCTTTAATACTTTACCCTTACGGTCCTAATTGTGAAATAATTTTATATAGATAGTCTCGTCTAATACTATGTTAATAAAGGTATTAACCGCATTATACTATTTAAATTCGAAATTAAAATAGGCTATAATTACTATTATAATCCTAAACAATCGGATTATAAAGGAAGTAATATACGTTTCTCGTACGTTATTATATAATTATTAATCTCTTCAAACTATTAAATAAACTTTATACTTAAGGTAATACCCTTCTATATTAAACTTATATATATATATTTATATTAAGCCAAATAATTTAATAGCTATATTAGTATATTATTCATCCTTATCGACCTACGCCTACAATTTCTTCTCTTTGTAATTTTTTATATACTTTTATTTAGCCTTATAGAAGAGATTATTAAACGGATAATAATTAAAATCGTTATAAACCCAAGGGGGAGGAGGGAATTCTCGTCGGTAAAAATTAGCTAAAGTATTAAAGTCGTTATAACAATCTATAATATTTCTAATTAATTTCAAATCGTCGGAGAACTTCTTTCCTTCCCCCTTTTTACTAATAGCCGTATATCTTAATTAGTTAAAAGTTTCCTTATTAATAGGCTATCTATTATATAACTTAATATTTATTTTATTTAAAGTAATTAAGAAGGACCCGACCTAGTAGAGGTATTTATTATACATTAACCAGTTTTACTAGGAGCGTAACGTACTAAAACTATTAATAAGGAATAATATTAAATTTTCTAGGGGAGTAGAATAACCCGTTTCCTCTTCTTTATTTATTATTATACTCTATTAATCGTTTTACGGCTTAATTCTAATACTAGAGCTCTAATACCCTCTTTTTATTCCTCCTCTTATATATATATAAATTTAGTCAATTCGGAAGTTGCAGTACTATCGGCGGCGGGTAAGGATTTAATAACCGGATTAGTCTTTTTATCTTCTACTTTAACGCTTCTAATAGGTAGTAGATTATATATATTAAATTCTAATTAATAAATATTATTTAATTATACGGCCAATTCTTTAAGGGAAATATTAAGGGTATTATAAAATTTCTCAACTTTACTTATAAAGACTTTATCCTCGTTAAAAACTATATTTTTTATTATAATTATCTAATTTATATATAGGTTCCAAATACAATAAATATTATTAAATTAGTAACCGACTAAATACCTTACCTAAGCGCGTCGTTTGAGCTTCTAAATCCGTTTCTAACTGCCTAAAATATCGACTATAAATACGAAAGCTTTATAACTATAGACTTTAAAGTAGGACAATCGTAATACTAATTTTTACTAACCGCTATTACAATTAACTATATATATAATAAAGCGCTCTTCTAAGGACTTCTAATTAAACTCCTATTTTAAAATTATATTCAATAAATATACTACTGCTATTATTATTTCTCTCTAGAACTCTTATAGTAAATTTACTAACTCTTTTATTACTACCGACTTTTTCCTAATTATACCCCCCGAACATTCAACGCCGCCGTTCTATACTTAAATATATAGAGCCGAGGGTTCGAGAACCGTACCTCACTTTATTAAGAAGGTAGTAATACAGGGTTTATTTATAGTTATTTTATTATTATATTCGATTATCCTTAGTCGGATTTAGTAATAAAGTTTAAAACTATTAAATAATAATATTAGTAAAATAATAATCGAGTCTATTGTCTAGTCTAGTAAGTAATATAATTATACCTTTTTAAATTAATAATTTACGATGATTATTAAATTTAATATTATACCTCTATTAAGGATTCTAATTAGGGGATAATTAAAGAAATTAATAGCGAAGTAGAGATTAGAACCTTCCGGCGCATCGCGGACCTCTCTACGTATTTAGCACTTTATTTTAGCTACTGTATAAGAATCGTAGTAAATAAAATCGGGGCCCTTTAAATATACTCTATACTCTTTATCCGTTAATTAGGCTAAAGTTTCTAATTCCGGGTAATTAAAGCGAAGGTACTAACATAAAGTATTACCCTCTTGAGGCTTCCTAGTAATTTTATTAGTAAATTAGCAAGATTATATATAAAAAGAAGATTATTTAGTACGTATTTTGAGGGGTATATATTTTAATATAAATTAAATGAATTTTAGAGAGAAATAGTGAATATAGTTATTATTTAAGCAGAAGCAAAGGTACCCTAAATTAAATAATTGATCCTAGTATAGTCCTTTTTCCAATAATCTTTTTAAATATACTAAATTATATACTATTCTAGGTATAAATATAATATTATTAAATTTAAAATTAATAAGGAATCCCTCGTTATTACTTAGTACTAAGTAAACCGAACCGTATCCTTCGATTATAATAAATTTATTTCCCGCCTAAATATAGTCTCTCTCTTTCGTAAGTTTGAAACTTTTAAACCAATTAACTTTATTAAAAATATAGATTATTGTACTTAAATTAAGAATTATTAAGTCCCTTAATAGGTACTTTAATTTATTTTTATAGAATTTTAGTACTAAGAAACTCGCTTCGTAGTATATATTACCAACCCGCCGGCCGTTGAATTAAAAGTTATTAATATGATTTTAGTAGGATTTATTAATCTTCTTAGTAATATTATTTTTTAAAATTTTTTAGATTTTATTTATAAATTTAGGGTCTTTTTAATAATTCTTATTAATTCGTTTGCGTATATACTAATCTTTTCTAAAGTTTTCCGGTTGGCTCGCCAGAATAATATATTAATAATATTTAAATTTATAATTTATATATTTATAAGTAGGGTAAGCCTTCTTCGATTATTTATTACAATTATAACAATTTTAATAATTACCGGCTAATTTTTTACTTCTATTATTCTAAAGGTTACTAGAGGCGTTCCTACTAAATTCAGTATATATAGTTGCCGTTCTGAATATACTATCCTTATAAACTTAGGAGCGACCCTTATTTAATAAAAATATTTTAAAGACTGCCTACTTGAATTTCCAGGCTATATTTATAAAAGTATAAAGTTTATTATTTTTAATTTAGTAATATACTATAGCCTAAATAATAAATAAGGAACCGGGGAACTTATTTATTACATAGAGAAAGTTTTAATACTAATTTTCAGGGTTAATATATTCGTCGACGTTATAGTATTAACTAATAGTTATAACCCCTTCCTATTCTTTAAACTAAATAGTCTAACTCTTTAGGGTATGGGTAAAATAGACCTTCTCTTAATATTTAGCATAGGCGTTATCTCGGGCTTTAACCGAGTTATAATTAATTGATGCGCGGAATTTATTATATTAAACGGTAATAGTCTCAGTTTTTAGGAAGTAAATTAAATAAAGCTTTTTAATAATATATTTTTCTATTTAATCCTTTTTTTCGTAGTAGTAATCGGCTAAAGCCGCTTTATAATTACGGAAGTCAGACTTAAATATAAAATTTAGGCGCTTAATAATAAAGGAGACCTTTATAGGCGGACCGGGGGGAGTTAAAACTTAAGTAAATATTAGGGTCCGGGCCAGGACTATAGTCGACCGGTATTACAGGGCGAAAGGGCACCGTTAAGGGTAAGGTAGGATATGTGTTATTATACGAGGGAGGAGAAGGGAAGTGTGTGTGGAGGGCTGGCTATATGGGCGAGAGCCCAGTCTGGGCCAGTCCGTGCTCGTATATACACGTGGGACTGCACGTGACCAGAGCCGTTAATAGCTCTAGACTAGAGGCGTGCAGTATAACCACATTACAGGCTAACCTTATAATAACCGGGTAGTTTAAGATAGCTAAGTATTAATTGCCGGGGGGCCATCGTCTACCTCCGTAGTATTGAAGATCTATTATTAAATTTAACTATCCTTAGGGGGTTCTTGAAAGTTAGTAACTAATAGTTTAATAAGAGTAGTAGGCTAGGGGATTCGCTTCTCGAGATCCGGGTTAATAAAAGACTAGAACTCCTTATTAAAAGCTTTATCTTTAAATCCCTTTTCCTAGAGATACTAATCTTCGGATTTATTAAGGATAACCTTACTAGCAATCTTAAAATCGATAGAGGTAGATATTATTACATTATATTGTATTACTTTATTTACTTTGGTAGGTAATTGTTGTACCATATTTGCCCGGATTACTTCAACTGGTAATTATTGTGTATAAGATTCTTAATTATAAAATACAGGTATAAATAGGGGTATTAATTTAGTAGAGGGTATAGACTGTGTATTGTGTAGAGCTCTGTTTTTTAGGAAAATCCCTCATATAGAAAATCTAGTATCGAGGTAATGCTAGCGTGGCCCGCTTACGTAAGGTCTGGGCTGGCCACCCTGGTCACCTCTCTTATCTGACACATCTCTACCTGACCCACTTCATGCTGATAGGGACAGGGGTATGAAACGGGATGTTCGCGGAGTTAAGCCCAGGATGATCGAGTGCCGTACACTACAATACCCGAGCGGACCGGGAGCGGCCGCGGCACCGCATCCGCACACATCGGCTCTCATCCGCACCAACTATCACACTTTTGGCCTACATTTGAAGTTGTGGACCTGTGCAATAACCTTGGCGATTTGTAATTGCGGGCTATGGTTCAGAGATATAAGATGGCTCCTTCGGCCGGATGGTTGGAGCGGGCTTCACTACGATAGACAGACAAACTTCGACATCAACGATCCAATTCTCTTCCAACGACCCATCACCAAGATCAACCGTCCAGCATAATGTCGGGCATCAACTTTGGTTTTGATACGGAGGGCCTCGAGGTGGTACGCCATCTTCGAGACCAAGTGTCCGGACGCACATGCAGGTTCAACCCAGCTGGCTCTTGCTAGAGCTTAATTGCTAACACTACGTTCCTCACATTTAGTCCTTATCACCGGCCCGAGTGAGGGAGGCCTCGGCGCGGAGACAGCCATCTCGCTTGCCCATGCCAACCCAGCACTGCTCATCCTCGTCGGACGCTCCCTCAGCAAGATCCAGCCCACCATTGACGCCATCCACGCCGTCAACCCATCCATCGCCGTCAAGTTCATCGCTGCCGATCTTAGCTCGCTGAACAGCGTACGTGAAGCAGCTCGCAAAATCGTCGACGACGCATCCATCACCCACATAGATGTCCTCATCAACAACGCTGCCGTCATGGCTTGCCCTTACGAACTCACCGTTGACGGTTTCGAGATGCAATTTGCCACGGCCCACCTCGGCCACTTTGTGCTGACGAAGCACATCTTACCCAAGCTCAGAGCATCAGCCGGTGCGGGCAAGCCCCAGACCCGCATCATCAACGTTTCCTCCCTGGGAAACACCCTCGGCGGCATCCGCTGGGACGACCCCAGCTACACCAAGCGTCCGGAGGAGTACAAACCCTGGGACGCCTACGGGCAGGCTAAGACGGCCAACGTGCTCTTCACTGTCGCGCTCAACAAACGGCTACTCGCCAAGACGGGTATCAGGTCGTATGCCCTGCACCCTGGCGGCATCTATACCCCCTTGCTCCGGCACATGAACGATGAGTTGATGGAGGAGATTACGCAGAGGGTGATGAAGGGAGAGATGCAGTTGAAGACGGTGCAGCAGGGTTGTGCGACTACGCTGAGGGCGGCGCTGGATCCGGAGCTGGAGAAGGAGGGGGAGGACGGCGTGTTTTTGAGTGATTGTCAGTTTACCAAGGACCCGGAGCTTGTGGCGCCTCGGGCGCTTGATGAGGAGGATGCGGAACGGCTTTGGGGGTTGAGTGAGGAGTTGGTTGGGGAGAAGTTTGAGCTTTGAGCTGGGGAGGTAATGCAGTGGGAAATGAGAACAAGGTGGGCTTATATCGTGGGTGGTTGAATAGTTGATGGAGTGGAACATGACCATAGACAGTTGAATGCAATACACCCATCTCTTCTTCTTGAATTTGGGGACCTTTACCCACGTGCAGATTGTCTATGCAGAAGTCGTAGTGATGAAACATGTTTTCACCTGTGACAGATCAACATTAATTAATGTCCGAATACCTCCCACCACTATCGTTCAACATTTGCACAAACTCATCACCGGACTATCGACGCACTCAAGACACAAAGCTAGATTCAAGGGGTTCGCTCGCTTGTTATTGACCACGAAGCTGTAGGGGGTTGTCACTCAGACGCCTTGCAATGTCAACTTACTTATGAACGATATGAGTGTTTCCTCCGCAAATATCTCCACTCGTTAATCTCAAGGGGATGGGGGAGTTGATGGGAAAGGAAAGTAGTGTGATACCCAATCAAAGAGGCCCGCAGTCTCTATGGAGAACTGATCGTAGCCGCATAGGACTGCTACATGGGTGGCTCCGTGAATGGGATGTGTAAGTCACTAACAGAAATGGCCGTAATCCTCACCAAAACTGTTACTGGCTATGCACACCCCCCGTCCGGAGCCAGCTCCCGGGTACCAGAGTGTCACGTCCTTGGCATGTCGATCAGGTTCCATATATCACTGAGCTTATTTTTTGTTAGTTTGCCCACCTTTGTCCGTGTGAAACATAGATCTTCGCTGGATGGACTGAACGATTCGCAAAACCTCTTGACGTCCCTGTAGATTGATAGGTTTCATCGCATTGATAGGGATCAATGTCTAAAACAAACGGCCACCGCTTGCTCCTTGGCAACATGGGTTCAGGAGGTGGCTCAACGAAGTGAACGACATAGCATACAGCCTTACACTACAATCGCCAAACCCACGCAACTCAAGCCACTCCGCCAGGTCAATAGTTCAACGATACTGATGTTGAGCCACAGCATCTTCTGCTCTTGCGGTCAGAGTATCAGTCGGCATCTCATCATCACCTCCCCGGATGATGAATGGATGGATGGAGACACTATCCAACCCACATCTCCTGTTCCATTACCCTTGGAGGACGAACAGAAGGAGACAGGTGGTGTGGAAAAAGGTCCGGACACTCGCTGGGTCTGGTTTGGAATAAGCGCGTCCGGACTTTGTTTTTCCACACCACCCTGGGAGAATGATGATCTTGACTTCAAGTCCACCGAGAAGAACAACTACATAAGCCCGTCCTTTCCCTCCCGTTTCCAAGCTTAGGTCGTCATCAACACAAGCTTCTCATTCATCACACTCATTACCAACTCAACAGCCACTAACTTACTTACTTATTAACATAACCATTTTAAACACCCAACCAACCAAACACCACCACCATCCAAAATGAAGACCACCACCTCTTTCTTCGCCTACCTCCTCGCCGCCTCGGCCTCCACCGTCTTTGCGGCCGCCATTCCCCGCTCCAACAGTTTCTCGCCCGTCCAGCAGGCCAAGGCTGCTCTCGATGACGTCTCTGGCAACGTTCCCGTCGCGGGCCACTATGTGCAGCAGGTGAAGGACATCGTTCCTCCGGTTGATGGGGCTTCTGAGGTTCCCACTTCCGCTCACGCCGCCGCCGCCCCCGCTGACGCTGCCGCCCCTGCTGCCGAGGACGATTTCGCTGCTCCCTTTGCCGACTTTGCCGACGCTGCCCCTGGCGTCCCCGCTGCTAGTGTCCCCGCTGGCGCCGCCACCCCTGCTAATGCCGCCGCCGCTCCGGCCGAGGCCGCCGACAAGGTCAACGATGGCGAGAAGGCCGCGCCCGAGGCGCCCTCCGCGCCTTCCGCCCCTTCCATCCCCACCATCCCTACCACGGCTGAGGTCGCCGGCAAGGTCGACGATGCCGCCAAGGCCGTCACGCCCGAGGGTGCCTCTGTCCCCTCCGTTCCCGCTGAAGCCGCCGGCAAGATCGTTGATGACGCCAAGGCCGCTGTGCCTCAGGGTTCCTCCGTCCCTGCCGCCGCCTCCGGTCCCGTTGAGGCCGCCGGCAAGATCATTGATGACGCCAAGGCCGTCATCCCCGAGGGTGGTTCCGTCCCTACCGCCGACTCCGTCGGTGAAGCCGCCGGCAAGATCGTTGATGACGCCAAGGCCGCCGTGCCCCAGGGTTCCGCTGTTCCTGCCGCCGTCTCCGCCCCCGCTGAGGCCGCCGGCAAGATCATTGATGACGCCAAGGCCACCGTGCCCGAGGGTTCCTCTGTCCCTTCTGTCCCTTCCGTCCCTTCCCTGGTTGACGCCGCCGCCGAAAAGGTCAACGATAGCGCCAAGAACATCGCGCGCGGTCTTGCCGGTCTCCCCTCCCTCAACGACGCTCCTCTCGGGGGCGATGTCGTCAACCAGGTCGGCAAGATCGTCGATAACACCGCTGGAAAGATTGCGCGCCGTCTTGCCAACCTCCCCACCATCAACGGCGCTCCTGTCGGGGGCGATGTCGTCAAACAGGTCGAGAAGATCGTCAATGACGCCACTAAGAAGATTGCGCGCGATCCTGCCGGCCTTCCCTCCATCAACGGCGCTCCTCTTGGGGGTGATCTCGTCAACTCTGTCGGCGGGCTCCTCGATAGCGTCAAGGGCGGCGTGCCCGTCCTCAACTCCCTCGGCGGCGGTCACCGCGTTTAAATAAGTGGGTGTGAAGAAACGGATTCATGATTGCAGGAATGTAGTTGAATGAGGAGTTGGGAACCAGAAAATTGGTGAGGTGGTGGAGGATTTAATGACATGGGGGATGAGAGTGCACGCGAGGATACCCGGTACCTACCTAGTCATATCCCGATAATAGTTATTTTTAATGGACATTTGAACCTTTCAACATTTCGTCTGCTCTTCGAATCTCTGGATAGTGATGCTCGCAACAGGCGAAGATGAATTGACACGTGTGAATGGTGTCTGGTTGGTGTGTCAAGGAATCTCCTAGAGGTAAGTACAGATTCTGATGGTTGCCTGGGGCAGCTGCCGAGATAAAAAAAAAAAAAAAAAAGTCTGTGATAGATGGGGGTTAGGGTTGGACACCGCCAGTTCCCCTGACATCTCACCCTTCTCTGGACCTTGACAGCTTCCTTCTGAGGCGGTGATCTGCAGACGCCTTTCTGTACCTTTGGCAGCCGCTGCTGTCAGATTCAGGTGGTTCCGGCAGGCAAACAAAGTGGAATGTTCCGCATCAAATGCTACTCACTGTGAGCAGGCGGGCAAGAAGCGGTAAGTTCCGATGAACCTATCCGACAAGTCACGTATTTCCTGTTCCCACCTTCCCATCACATAAATGCCCTCAAACATCATCATCTTCACCACTTCTACACACCTCCCGCCCGTGGCGCTACACACTGCGTTACCGTTGCACACTTCTTACCTGTCGTTCCATTCCCGGGTTTCCTGCAAATTGTCATACTCTGACAGGCCGACGGCGCCAGCAATCCCTATAAACAGTGCTTCCTAACGGTGTACCCGGACACTTGTACTGAGAGCCGTCCGACTGCGCACCGTCGCCAACGACCCCGAGTCGCCAGATGTAAATCAGCTTCAGACTTGACATGTTGCCCGGTATTCAGTCGTCAGTACTGGCCATTCCCTGGTTACCTGCAGTCCCCAAATCGGCCAAATTACCTCTGACTCTCTGAGGTAGGAGTTCCAGGCCCGGGCCCTGTTCCAGTGGGCCTCCTTTTGCTCTTTGACCTCCCGTCATCGCTTACCGTGGGGATCGCCGTGGAGATTTGGGGAAAAGGTCCCAACCCCAAAGGGTGGACGACAACAACAAGCGAGGTGTACACATCCTGGAAAAGGAATGCCACGCCCGTCCAAAAGAGCAAGCATTCACTGGTCGGCAGTCACATCTCATTCCCCAATGGCCGTGAATGGAATCGCTGTAAAAGTCCTCATTTCATCGGCCGCTCTGGGGTTAGCGGCGCAATGTCCAACACCCCCTGTTTATTGGTCGCAAAAGAGGTGTTCCTGGCATGAACCCGTTACAATGGGACATCACCCACCGATGCCACCTCAAGCCCAGCAGCCCACCCAGTGCCGAGATGAGGCGCCCAGGGACCCCAAAGCGGTAGACTCGCTGATTGGTCACACCCCCTGAGTCTATCGCGACCTGCAGGTAGCTTGTCTTCCCCTTCCACACAGCTTCCTGTTGCTGGCCCGCCCCGGGGAGATACCTTGAGTGAAAAACGCCAGGACATGGGGCACGACATGGACTACGACATGCTCGGCTCCTCGTCAACCCATCCCAATCCCATCCCATTCCCCCCGTCTGGGGTTTAAGCCTGGCCTTTCCCCCCCTCGTGCACCAAACCCCGGGACAAGCCTTCTCTCCTCTCTTTCTGTCGCCCTCTCCATCTTTCTTCCCTCCACGGACCTTGGTTGGAGCCTCACACTCGTTGACCTTGGCCCCTCCGAAGCTCGACACGCCTCGGCTTCTGATGTCCCTCAAATCTTCTTACGATCGTTCCGACCCGACCTATTACGATTTTATGTCCTATGAACACCCGCTTAAATTTTGAATAGAGAAAGTGTCAGGGCTGGATATCAGTTGAACGACAGCCGACCTTGTATCAGAGTTCATATCCTGACGTGCTGAGCTCCACGACCATTGGATATTGAGGACACAACCAACCCCTACCGCCAACATGAAGCTCTCCACATTCCAGACCGCCCTTGGCGCGGCCTCATTATTCTTCAGTGCTCAACCTGTCTCTGCCGGTCATGGGGGTCATCGCCATCTCCATGAACGTCCCACGAGGAGACAAAGTCGTGTTGAGGACACCATTGAGAGCTTCGAGATGCCTCAGCTGCAAAAGAGAAAAAGCCAATGCTCATTGCCCGACCACCCCGACCTTGTCTATGTCCCGGGAGGCATGAACAATGGTTTCGCCATGAGCCCCGATGAGCCATGCGAAGACGGAAAATGGTGCCCGTATGCGTGTGTTCCTGGAAAGGTTATGGCACAATGGGAACCAAACTCGACCTACGTCTATCCCCAGTCAATGGTGAGTTGATACATATCTCAACATTATGAGATTCGGAGCGCTGATGCATAATCAAGAACGGCGGTCTATATTGCAACAAAGGAACGCCTGAGAAGGCCTTCGACGACAAGCCATACTGCGTGGATGGAACCGGTGCTGTTCAGGTAGTTAACAAGGCTGGAAAGGTTGTGTCCTTTTGCCAAACTGTCTTGCCTGGTAACGAAGCCATGATTATTCCCACCGACATCCAGGGTCAGTCCAAGATCGCTGTGCCTGGACCCTCTTATTGGGACTCAACCGCTGCGCAGTAAGCATACCCACAGATGATGGTGCTTGTGACTCTTGAAGCTGACTGTCTCAGTTACTATATCAACGCGCCTGGCGTCTCTTCTGCCGAGGGTTGCATTTGGGGCAGCCCAGGCAAGCCCATCGGAAACTGGAGTCCCTATGTTGCTGGAGCAAACACCGTTTCCGCGGGCGAGACATATCTGAAGATTGCCTGGAATCCCATTTACATGGACTGCGACTGGAAGAAGACGAAGCCTAGCTTTGGCGTCAAGATTGAGTGTCCCGCTGGAGGTTGCAATGGTTTGCCGTGCTCCATCGATCCCTCCAAGCACGGTGTTGGGGGCTTGGAAAGCCCAGTTTCCACCAAGGGTGTCGGCGGTGCTCAGTTCTGCGTTGTCACTGTTCCCAAAGGGCAGACTGCCAACATTGTAGTGTTCAACATCGATGGTTCCAGCGATGATGAGCCCAAGACCTCGACCACCAGAAAGCCTGACCCTCCCAAGACTACCTCAACCAAAGAGGCGCCCCCGCCGCCCAAGACTACCAGCACCATGGAGACGCCCACTACCACATCAACTCTTCCTCCCACCACTTCTTCTTCTTCTTCGGTTCGCATATCATCAGCTCCAGTATCCTCTGTAACCAGCACGGAAGAGTCTTCTGTTTTGTCCTCTGAGACACCATCGGCCTCGAAGCCCGCGCTCTGGGGTGGTGTCTTCAAGGAGACCGGCACCGATTCCACGCCTACCAGCGAAGCCTCCGAGACAACGGAAGCACCGGTACTGACGGAAACCGAAAAGCCCGCACCTGTCTCAACCACATCGAAGAAGAACGACGGTGCAGCTCAAGAAGGTGGCGCTGCCATTGCAGGTTTGGTTGTCGCCATTGTCGCAGCTGCAACTCTTCTTTAAACTGCTGTCTCCACGCGGTTTTCGAAACTTAGTCCCTGGTGTTTGCCAGGAGGCTGATTTTTGCTTTCTTTGTATCAGACGTTGAAATACCTTCTTCACCATATTCCGCGGTCGATACACGAGGTACATCCGGTCGAATTGTACCTGACTTTTGCTTCGTTTCTTCGCTTTTCGGAAAACGGCGACGAATAGCAATGACCTGACATGATATACTTCTCCAAAACGACCACATCCGCCCAGTCAGCAAAAAGCCCACTCGTCAAAACCTGGAACCCGACAAAAAAAAACCACATACTCTTTGAAAACACACCCCATACATACGCTTAGTACCTAGTGTCTATTGTTATTTCTGCAGCCCCATCGGCGCGCTAAAGGCTGCTGCCATCTTGCGCCCTTCTTCCCTGCACCAGTCGTTCTTGCTGCTGCAAGCGACATATTTTATTATTCGACGACTTGATTTCGGTCTTGATGTTTGTTACGAGGATATCTTTTTTTTTTCTGTTCGGCGATATACCCCCATTAAAGCTATTGGTTATTCTGGTCTGCGCGTTGGGTGCGGCGATTTTTTTGGCGATATCTTCTTCTTCTTGGATATGTTTTTCTTTCTTTGAAAAAAATGACCCTTGAGTGTTGTTTGTCATCAACACGTGAGGAGGAAATTGGATGCGGCTGGAAAGTGTGAGGTGGGAGGCCACGGTTTGATTATATGATGGATGTCGAAACGTGATAAAGGGAGAAGGAAGAGTACATGAAAAGTGATGAGGTTCCGTGGCCGAAGGCATTTGGGAAAGTCTGGTAGACCAAGGGTTTCGATTTCCGATGTGCTCGGGAGGACTGGGTTGGGCATTGGATATTATTCGAGATGTGACGCTGAATGAAAGAGCAGACGATGTTCGTGACGACGAAATATTTAAATCCCAAATCTTGACAAAAATCATACACCAGATGGTGATAATGGCGGTTTACTGAAGATTGGAGCTTGGATTGAAACGAAAGAGCGATGCCGAAGATGACGACGAGGTGACTGTTCTCGCCTGGATTCGGAGCTTGGGAGGGGGGGGAAAAGGTTAACATTAAAGAAAAAGGAGAGGGAGGAGAGTAGTATGGACACGAAGAAAAGGCACTGCAAGAAAGAAATCTTCAACCGACACCACTTGAAACATTTATAACACAAGGCGGGTATGACTTGGTGACTTGTCCTTGGCGGGTACTGTCATACACGTTCGTACTAGTCGACAAGGTTGTCTGCTCCTCGCTCCACGTTGGCTCTGGGCCCCTTCATCAAGTAATTGATACGAGCTCACACTAAAAATAACAATCGTCTTCGTATCAATTCACATTTCCACAATGTCCAGACCTTTCAATCTGAGCCAAAGCCGACTTGTCATTCATGGTTATGGATAGTGTCGAGTTGAAAAACATCATATTACATATGTATGGCCTATGAAAGTCCATGGGACAAATGTGATGCTTCAACCTTACTGATACGGTCTAGCGTCATGTCGGCTTTTCTATAGCAGGATTGCAAAGGAAGAAGCAAAAGAGAAATGATAGAGCAATAATCGTCCCTCCCTATTCATGTTAAAGGACCTTCCCTCTTACACCCCATCATCAACCCATTTTCACCCACCCCGGTACATCTTCAAATTCACCAGGTGGCTCGTTCGTCTCACCCGCATCCGCCGCCGCCAGCTCATCCTCGTAGTCCTCCTTGAACCGGTCCATGATACTCTCATACGGGCACGGCCAACCGGCCGCCACCGCGTTTCCGCCCTTGCGCTTGGCGCCCTCGACCGCGAACTTCTTTTGTTGGCGAGCAATGAACCCATTAAGTAGGCCCGCGTAGACCAAGCCCGCGACGATCGACTCCATGCTGTCGAGATCCGGTTGCTTGTTTCCAAAGATCAGGCCCTCCGACGGCATCAGCCGCTTCGGCTGTCCGCCTGGGGGAGGGGCGAGAGTGAGAGCGGAGGAGCCAGCGGCAACGGGGACGTAGCCCTCGAGGAGCTTCTGAACATAGGTGGCGGTGACCACAAGGTCGGCGAGGGAGAGGGCGGGGGCGCGGTTGGTCATCATGTTAGGATCGTTTCCGGTGGCGCCTTCCCATGTAAGCAGGAACGTCTTGCGCGTAAAGGAGCGCCAGACGAGCGGTTTGAGACGGTAGAGAAGAGTGAGGTAGAGGCCACGGTCCCAGAGCCAGTCTCTGCTGGCGTTGAGGGCCTGATGGAAGGCGACGAAATTGCCGGTCCGTATGGCGGCGCAAATTGGTATGAAGATGTCGCCGAAGCCGGCGGCCTCGGGCCGCGAGAGAAGCATCTGTGAGGGAAAACGTCCCAAGAGAAGGTTCGAGGGAACCCAATAGATCAGAATCTGTCGGCGATGCTTGAGGAATTGCGGATGGCATTGCCGGTAGGCCTCTTCAAAGCACCAGTGGGCACGCATGTAATGGCCGTGGTCGAAGTTGAAGCGGCCAAGATAGTAGAGAAAGGTTACGCGTTGTGATGCCGGGTATAGGGAGAGTGCTGGTCCGCTTGTAGAGAGGTTGGTGAACATTTGGACGGCGAGTCTTGACTTGTCGCACTGCAGGAGGGTATGTTCATGAGTATTTCTTTCTGGAATCGTCTTACAAGAAGGACGAGCAATGGGACGACTTACAGCAAACAGCAATTTCAGTGTCAAGTTTGCAAACAGATATACGGCAATCTTCTTCCCCTTTGGAGGCGACCAGCGAGTACTTGATCGATCTGTGAGACACGATGTAAAGATCTTTTGAATGATATCTGCGGCAAGCTCGACGATCGATTTCTTCTCGCCAGCTTCATCGCCAGTCATATCGCCCTGAATCTGGGCCATAAGATGAGGTTCCTTTGTAATGCTCATCACCAACTTGGAGAGCGCCTCTGAGAGAGACATGCTGGTTTGTAGAAGCATGATGCCATATGTTGGATTAGCAAGTGCATTTGCACATGATATGAGCAGGTCGCTGAGCCGGCCATAAAGTTTGACGATGTCGTTGAAGTCTACATCGCGCCAGTACTTCAAATACTCCTCCATGAACGAATTGAAGCCAGGCCACGCCGAGCCTCGTCCTTCTGGAACGTCATCTTCTTCTGGCAGATGCTTCTCAACAAGCTTCTCGATATTGTCAGAATTAGGGGGACAAGTTGACCTCAGTTGTTGCCCAAGCTCATAATAATGTGCGGCAACATTCGGCTCGACGAGCAGCCAGTTGCGGAGCTCGTCACCATTTTGAGTTTGTACGAACCCGCGGATGCTGGTCAGAAATTCCGCGATGAGGCTCATAGCTGTGGTATTTTTCTAGATGACGCGCTCGTGACCGGTCGGGTTGTCTTTCAACCCAGCTTCCTCCTCCAAGGTCGTGGCCCGGCCGCGCCAGGGCACACACCAAGAGCGAAAGTCAGTGTGATCTTGTAGAAGGATGAATGGCGGGGTGCGTCGTAATGTATTGTCGTAACCTGATATGTTGATACTTGAGTCGCGGAAAAGCTAGCGCTGAAGTAACAATGCCGAATGATGCAATAAATAACTTGTTGTAGTTCTTGCTCGATGTTTGATTTGCTGAAGACAAAGGTGCAGACCGTTTCGGTGAAGCTGCGCGATCTCAAAGGTGAAGTTAAGGTGAGTGTGTTTGCACTGTGCTGCATTGATTTCAATGCGCGTTCGTCTTCTGACCAAACGCTGAAACCCTAACCCGAAAGCTATAACTGTGAATACCCTGGGATCTTTGTTGCACGAGTTCATTGAATTTGTTCACCTTTATGCTCAGTTGTGGATTTACATCATCACCCAGATCATCAAGCTCACAACATGGCACTGCAGTTTCCTTACTTCTTCAAATATATTCTGTCGCTTTTACCCAACAAGATGCAGCTGTAACTATGTGCAGACTGGCCCTGCTTCTGGCAGCGCATCATACCATTTGTACATGAAAGAAAGCCCAACCAACTCCAAAGCTTTGCAAATCTTCATCCTTATACAAGAATTCATCAAATACCCATCCGCAACTCCACAATGTTCCCGTTTAGACCGACTCGATCCTCTGGACGACCATCGCAGTGGCCGCACCTCCACCATTGCAAATAGCAGCTACACCGTACTGGCCAGGCTGGAGCTGATGAAGCAAGGTAACGAGAATGCGGGATCCAGAGCTACCCAAGGGGTGGCCAAGGGCAATGGCGCCACCAAGAGGATTCACCACAGCGCCTTCGAGACCCAGAATCTTCTCGTTGGCCTTGATGACCGCGGCGAAGGCCTCGTTAAACTCCCAAATGGCAACCTGGTCCTTGCTAATGCCGGCACGCTTAAGGGCAAGCTCAACCGCTTTAGAGGGCGCAATAGGGAAGTCGATGGGGTCCATAGCGGCATCAGCTGAACTGACAATACGGGCAAGGACCCTTGAGCCCTTGCCGAACTCTTGCGCGAGCGACTTGTTGCCGAGAACCAAAGCACTGGCGCCATCGTTGAGGGTAGAGGCGTTGGCAGCCGTCACGGTACCGGTGCCATCACGGACGAAGGCAGGCTTGAGGGTAGAAACCTTGTCCAGCTTGATGTCGTTGTAGCCTTCATCCACCTCGATGATCTTGTCACCCTTCTTTCCCGGAACGGTGACCGGGACAACTTCCTCAGCAAACTTCCCGGAAGCCCAAGCCTCCTGGGCGCGCTTGTACGACTGGATGGCATACTCGTCCTGCTGTTCGCGAGAGATCTGGAACTTTTTGGCAGTGTTCTCGGCGCAGTTGCCCATGTGGAACTCGTTGTAGACGTCGGTCAGCCCATCCTTGATAATGCCATCCTCCATCTTAATGTGACCGAAGGGGGGCATGCCGCTAGCGCGTGGAACGTAGTACGGCGCCCTTGTCATGTTCTCCATACCACCAGCGACCTGGGCCTCCGCTAGGCCAAGCTGGATGTTTTGCGCCGCGAACACAACCGCTTTGAGACCGGAAGCGCACACCTTGTTGATGGTGATGGCCTCTACGTTGGGGGAAAGGCCAGCAAAGATAGCGGCCTGGCGCGCAGGTGCCTGGCCAACAGACCCCTGGAGGACGTTGCCCATGTAGACATCGGTGATCTTCTCAACGGGGATACCCGACCTCTTGACGGCCTCCTTGATGACAACGGCACCGAGCTTGGGAGCAGGAACGGTGGTGTAAGAGCCATTGAACTGGCAGATGTTAGCACAAGCGCTGTGTTGTGGAAATGGCTGTTTTTACGGAGCGCTTTACCTTGGCCGTTGGTGTCCTCACACCACTGAGAATGTAGGCATCCTGAATCTGCTGACGGAGAGCAGACTGGGTGGAAAAAAGACGAGCGCAAGCGACACGGGAAGTGCGCGAAGCCGAGCCAGCGGCTGTCCTGGCGTGGCTAAGAACCATTTTGAGTGTCGGAAGCTGGTAACGATGAGTTACAGGACGTAGGGGCGGTACTGCACAGCGCAGATGTCGGAGGGGAATCTGGCGAGAAGGAAGAAAGGAAGATGGCCGAACGGGGAATGAACAACAGCACAGCAACAGGAGAGGCAACACAAAAACAGGAGCAGGAAATAATTGGGAGTAGGGACAGAATCACAGGGAAGACTTTCTTCTATTGTTGAGGAATGATTAATAAAACTACTAGCTGGGGAGGCGATAACTGGTCTCTTCCTCTCCTTCCCGCTTTCTTTTCCTCGGAACTTGTCAGATGCCATGATGGCACCTGTCGGCTTGTGACGGTATATGTGTGGAGAGGATTCACACAAAAGCGATGCTTCACCCCGCCAATTGAGCGCCAAACAGTGGCCGCCACCGTGGTTCCTCCGCGGGGACCCCAACGGGCGCAAGGGACACAGAAGCTTGGTATCCGGGGTTTCCCGTGGAGCCTGCCGCTGACAGACAGGGGAAGCTCCTCATCCACTAGTGTACAACCGAAGAATGCCCTGCTTGGGTCATGAGCCCATGAGTGCCGTACCCACGGGCGGATGGAGAAACATCAGATGGAGCTAGAGTTGAAGCCGTAGCGGAGGGGAAACGGATCGATTCGGGGGTGGACGCTCTCCAAACAGTTCATTCACTCTTTTCCGTAGCCTCCTGTTGCCAGCGCCGACATCATAGCTGTACCGGATACTGCCCGCATAAAATCAGGGATCAAAAGGCCAGGGCACTGCACGCTCAAAAGTCGTTTCGCATCACTTATGATCTATCCCAGTCGCGCTTGTCCCTGCAATTGCCATCCCGCGCGCGTCTTTGGATATTGGGCAGAAGCGAACCACTTTACACGCAGGAACAAAAGCCGAGCTTCGCAACGCGACTTGAGATGTTGCGTTGGTTCCAAGCAACGATCCTATTGCGGCGTTGAAGTGTTTTCGGGCAGCTGCCGGGGGATGCCACAGGAGACAGCTTGATCAAATCACTGATTCAACCCGAACAATTGGCTGTCATGCCACAATTTCTGATGTTTTCTTGGGATTCATTTGTCAGTGCGATTTAGACGTTTGGCTGGACAACCATTTGGCGGTGGCGTGATAGAAGGTGTGTGACTGTGGTCCCAGTCCATCAGCTGGCCGTCACCTCGCGCACGAGCCACCAGTCGCTTCATACCCAAGTGTAATTGGCTGAGAATCAGAAAAGTGCTATTTACCTAACAATCCGGCGGCAATTGCCAACCGGGGCAGTCACTGTTCATTGCCCCCTGCCCTCGGCGCGCGTTCTCCTAGCTTCTTTGTGACGCCCCCTCCGGGCAATCAGTTGGGTATGATAAGATAGCGGTCGTTAATGCGCGTTCACTTGTTGGCTCTGCTGGTTTCCGTCATTCATCTCCGCCCCTACAAAACAGTTCGTTGATTGTCTCTTCGCTATTCCAACCACGAAACCCATCTCGACTTTGGACAAAAGTATCACATCGATCCTACGTACTCCATCAACCTTGTAGCTTTCTCTCCTGGGCCGACTTCATCCCCCATCACCAAAGCCAAAATGTCAACCGCTGCCCGCCGCCGGCTCATGCGAGACTTCAAGGTGCGAGACATCATGAGCCACCCCGTTGGGTTCACACCGCTTGATGATTTGGCCGCCATGAGCACAATATACTCACCATGTTCCTCGACAGCGCATGCAAACCGATCCTCCCGCTGGTGTTTCCGCCTCTCCCGTACCCGACAATGTTATGACATGGTAAGGAGAACGGTCTTTGCTGCGGTGTCGTTATGGGCGGTCGACCCCCGGCACGGCAATGACTGACATGAGTCTCCATATAGGAACGCCGTGATCATCGGACCCGCCGATACGCCCTTCGAAGATGGCACCTTCCGCCTGGTGATGCACTTTGAGGAGCAGTATCCCAATAAGCCTCCTTCGGTCAAGTTCATCAGCGAGATGTTCCACCCTAATGTTTACGCCACTGGCGAACTCTGTCTCGATATCCTCCAGAACCGCTGGAGTCCTACGTACGACGTCGCGGCTGTTCTTACCAGTATTCAGAGGTACGACTGCATAATATCTTGTTGACGTTCATTTTGCGTTGTGTTATTATGCTGACCAAACTGTCTTGACTAGTCTGCTCAATGACCCGAACACAGGATCGCCTGCAAACGTCGAAGCCTCCAACCTATACAAGGACAACCGCAAAGAATACCACAAGAGGGTCCGGGAAACTGTTGAGAAGAGCTGGGAGGATTGAATAGTGACGACACTCATCATCTCGGGGCCCTCGATGGCAAAAAGCCAATGATTGATCTGGGTGCTGCAAGTCGGTGTTAATATTGCTCACTGGGCTGTTCGATACAGATCTCTTGGCTATATCAACAGTCAGTTGTCGACCGACGACGAGTTGCGAGATGATCCACATTCGAGGATACCCGGCGGTTTGGCCTTTTAGGGCGTGAGGGTGGAACGGATGTCGTGATATTACATTGCATTTGGGAGGCGTCGTTCTTTCGGGGCGTTTTTGTTGTATTTCAAATATCCGCATCTCTCGCCTATTGATGGCTGAGAGTCAGCCTGCTTGTCTGCAATGGAGAAAGCGGGAGTGCTTGGTTTTTCTCACTCTTTAGGGCGGTTGTCGGGTTTGGAGTTTAGGCGCTCGTATCATACCAACACAAGCATATCTGGCGGGGGCAGTCCCTGGATACCTCAACTCACCCCAAAAAGCCCTAGATAGCGTTCTTTTCCTTTGTCTTAGAGATGAAGAGATGGCATAGTGTCTTTTATTGCAAAAAGCTCACCATGTTATGTCGGCCGGCTTAGATGTACGAGTTTCCAGAGAGTCTTGCATTTCTCAGCTTTTCTCTGTTTCTTTGACAAAAGTGTACATGACCCTGCTTGGTGCCTTACATCCACATGATTTATATCATCTATACCTAAGGCTGAGAGTCAAGTCTAGCGTGCACATTTCGAATTGCGGCGTTGCTTGATACATGCTCACGTTAACAGGCATTCCTTAAATGCAAGGGTCCCTGCGAGAGTGAAAGACAGGCTGACTACCTCCATCGTAAATACTTGGGAAGCTCGTTTTCCAGGCTTGTGCAGAAAACGCAGGGTTAAAGAGCTGTCAGATGCTTTTGGCCGTCAGAGAGCATACAGTGTACGTGAATTCCGAACACTTTTAACCCTGCAACCTGGAAACAAGGTTCTCAAGTCTTTACGGTACGTCCTGGTCCGACTTACCTAGGTAGCTCTACAAGGCCCTCTTGGAATACTTCTCATATCTTGCATAGGTACGATTTCATGTTGTTAGGACTGACGCTTTGCGTATGATCTGCATGAGGGGTGAGGTTGTCATATATTGTGGGTAGCTGAACTTGGCTAGGTACCTCTACAGCGGCAGCCTCTTGAAAGCTCGAATTGACGACGTAGAGAGGTATCTTGAAAATTGATTTCAAGGCACCCAAAAGAGCAAAGAAATGGCCATAGGCAACTTGAACAGCAGGAAAGGGGGCGGGCATCTCCAAGAATACTGGCTTGTATGCTTGTGCCACTTGGGTCTGCTAGAAACGTGCGATCAAATTACCTCTAGGGAATGGGTTTCAGATTGGGGTTTTCCATATGTACACTAGAGGTAGGTACCCTCAGGCTGAGCCTCCCCCAATCCTGTTTGAAGCTTTGAAATATTTCTACAATTGATGAAGATATCTCCTCCATGGCACCCGAGAGTATTGGCCGAACGGGCATTCAATCTTCAGGCAGGTACTTACACTCGGAGGTAGAGGCAGAGGTAGGTAGGTAAGTGGAAGTAAAGGTACTGGTCTCGCAGTCCGCCTCGCAGCACCAGCCGCCCCGAGTGCCGTCCCGCCCCGGTTGTTAGGTAAAGGGACAGGGGCAGCAGGCACAACCGAGGGGAGTCGTCCACTGGCGACGACTGGCAGCGGTTCGCTTTCAGGACCCCTCCCGCCCTTGGCTGCGCACCGTTCAGACTGCGTCTCAGGCTGCGACTCTGCACTGACCGACAAGACCCCACTATCTTCATCGCGTTTCGACATTTGTTCGGTTTCTTCTAGACCCTTGAATGGATTGCCTTGGGTACCGACCACACGTGTGATGAGTACCCCTTCCTGCCCTTCCATCTCGACGAGAACATACGGCGGCGGCGACAGTAGCTGCGGTTACCCCTTTCAGCCCCTTTTTGCACATTCTGCACACGTTCGCCTTTTCGCCTAGCCCTCAAGGTTTGCTTTGCTTTGCTCTGCATAGGTAGCTTTTAAGGTTTGCTGTCTTCTTCCATCGCTGCGGCCCAAAGGGGTTCAGTTACCTAACGAAACGCCAACGTGCCTCGGCGGGCGAGTAGTGTGTCACATTGAAGCCCACCTTCACCTTTTGCCTTTCTTCACACCGCACCCGCAGCCGCGAACCGCACCGCAACTGCACCACACCACAACCACCGCTCACGACGGACCGCGGAGGAGGGAAACGACGACGAGAACACGCGCCTAACCGGAACTCGTCACCTTTTGTGATATCCGGATCCAACTCGGAGAGACACCTGGACCCCGACTGACCGAGACCCTGCTTCTCTATCTCTCTGCTGCAGGCGGCCGGGCTCCTTGTCCATCTCCCCTCTCCCCCCCCTCTCCCCCCCTCACTCCACCACCCATCCTCCCCGACAACATCGGCCGCGCCGCCTTTCATGACAGTGCGCTACCCAGCGCTGCAAGGGAATCGCCATAATGTCGTCAAGTGCGAATAGTATCAAGGTCGTGGCTCGATTTAGGCCCCAGAACAGGGTCGAAATCGAGTCCGGCGGCCAGCCCATCGTCACCTTCCAGGGCCCGGATACCTGTACAGTCGATGTGAGCAACTTCTTCTGCCCCCTAGGTCTCGCACCTCACAATGCCCTTGTGCCTACCTTGCCATATCCTTCACGCGCCTGAATGCAGTCGCACCGCAGTGGCTAACCCATCTGTTTTTGCCCATAGTCGAAAGAAGCGCAGGGTTCCTTCACCTTTGATCGGGTGTTTGACATGTCATGCAAGCAATCCGACATCTTCGATTTCTCGATCAAGCCTACCGTCGACGATATTCTCAATGGCTACAACGGTACTGTCTTCGCCTACGGCCAGACGGGTGCCGGTAAATCATACACCATGATGGGTACCAGTATAGACGACCCTGATGGCAGAGGTGTTATTCCAAGAATCGTCGAGCAAATCTTTACCAGTATCTTGTCTAGCGCAGCAAACATCGAGTATACCGTCCGGGTCAGCTATATGGAAATCTACATGGAGCGGATCCGTGATCTTTTGGCGCCTCAGAACGACAACCTGCCAGTTCACGAAGAAAAGAACCGCGGTGTCTACGTCAAGGGTCTGCTCGAGATCTACGTCTCGAGCGTCCAGGAAGTATACGAAGTCATGCGCAGGGGTGGCAACGCAAGAGCTGTGGCTGCGACCAACATGAACCAGGAGTCGTCGCGCTCGCATTCCATCTTCGTTATCACCATCACCCAGAAGAACGTGGAGACGGGCTCGGCCAAGAGCGGTCAGCTTTTCTTGGTCGATCTGGCTGGTTCCGAAAAAGTCGGCAAGACAGGTGCCAGTGGTCAGACGCTGGAGGAAGCAAAGAAGATCAACAAGAGTTTGAGTGCTCTTGGTATGGTCATCAATGCCCTGACAGACGGCAAATCCTCCCACGTTCCTTATCGAGACTCGAAGCTCACCCGTATTCTGCAAGAATCGTTGGGTGGTAACAGTCGAACAACACTCATTATCAACTGTTCACCCAGTAGTTACAACGATGCCGAAACATTAAGTACGCTGCGTTTCGGTATGAGAGCAAAGTCGATCAAGAACAAAGCGAAAGTCAACGCCGAACTCAGCCCGGCCGAGCTCAAGCAGATGCTTGCCAAGGCCAAGACCCAGATCACGTCCTTCGAGAACTATATCGTCAACCTGGAAAGCGAAGTGCAAGTGTGGCGTGGTGGCGAGACTGTGCCCAAGGAGAAATGGGTACCACCTTTGGAGCTCGCGATCACCCCTTCGAAATCAGCCTCGACAACAGCCCGTCCATCGACACCGTCGCGGCTCCTGCCTGAAAGCCGCGCGGAGACCCCTGCTATCTCAGACCGAGCTGGAACCCCCAGCTTGCCCTTGGATAAGGATGAACGGGAAGAGTTCCTGCGTCGCGAGAACGAGCTGCAAGACCAGATTGCGGAGAAGGAAAGTATCGCGGCGGCTGCCGAGAGACAACTGCGAGAGACAAAGGAAGAGCTCATCGCTCTCAAGGACCACGACAGCAAGCTTGGAAAGGAGAACGAGAGGTTGATTAGCGAGTCCAACGAGTTCAAGATGCAACTGGAGAGGCTGGCCTTCGAGAACAAGGAGGCCCAAATCACCATTGACGGCCTCAAGGATGCCAACTCGGAGCTCACGGCCGAGCTTGACGAGGTCAAACAGCAGATGCTCGATATGAAGATGAGCGCCAAGGAGACCAGCGCTGTGTTGGACGAGAAGGAGAAGAAGAAGGCGGAGAAGATGGCCAAGATGATGGCTGGCTTTGATCTTTCTGGTGACGTTTTCAGCGATAATGAACGGGCAGTTGCCGATGCGATTGCGCAATTAGATGCCCTCTTTGAGATCAGCTCTGCTGGTGACGCCATTCCTCCTGAGGATATCAAGGCACTCAGGGAGAAGCTCGTGGAGACCCAGGGTTTCGTGCGTCAAGCTGAACTGTCGAGCTTCAGCGCCGCCTCGAGCGATGCGGAGGCTCGCAAGCGGGCTGAACTTGAGGCCCGTCTTGAGGCTCTTCAGCAAGAGCACGAGGAGCTCTTGTCTCGGAACCTTACCGAGGCTGATAAAGAAGAGGTCAAGGCCCTCCTTGCCAAGTCGCTCTCGGACAAGTCGGCTGTCCAGGTTGAGCTTGTCGAGCAGCTCAAGGCTGATATCGCCCTGAAGAACTCGGAAACGGAGCACCTCAAGGCTTTGGTCGACGACCTTCAGCGCCGTGTCAAAGCCGGCGGTGCCGGAGTTGCCATGGCCAACGGCAAGACCGTCCAGCAGCAGCTGGCCGAGTTCGACGTCATGAAGAAGAGCTTGATGCGCGATCTGCAGAACCGCTGCGAGCGCGTGGTCGAATTGGAGATCTCCCTCGACGAGACGCGCGAGCAGTATAACAACGTGCTCCGCAGCAGCAACAACCGCGCTCAGCAGAAAAAGATGGCTTTCCTCGAGCGCAACCTCGAACAACTGACGCAGGTTCAGCGCCAGCTTGTGGAGCAGAACTCTGCTCTCAAGAAGGAGGTGGCGATTGCCGAGCGCAAATTGATGGCGAGAAATGAGCGGATTCAGAGCCTCGAGAGCCTGCTTCAGGAAAGCCAGGAGAAGATGGCCCAGGCGAATCACAAGTACGTGTTTACCCCTCTGTTATTGCTTCACGCCCTCATTATCATCAGTATCAGCGCTAACCTTCCGTCTTCCTATTGCACTAGGTTTGAGGTGCAGCTCGCTGCCGTCAAGGACCGGCTGGAGGCCGCCAAGGCCGGTAGCACGCGGGGCCTCGGCACCGACGCCGGCCTCGGCGGGTTCAGCATCGGCAGCAGGATCGCTAAGCCGCTCCGCGGTGGCGGCGACGCCGTTGCCGGTGCCACGGCTACGAACCCCACCATTGCCACTCTGCAGCAGAATCCGCCCGAGAATAAGAGATCGAGTTGGTTCTTCCAGAAGTCGTAAGGAACGAGGTGAAGAAGACCATAGATGTGCGGGTTGTAGGGGGTCTGTTTGCATAGAAAGAAAGAGGCGCTTGCACAAGAACGAAACCAACGAACAAGTGGATACACAGCAGTCAACATCAACAAAGAAAACACAAACACAAAGGTAAAGAAACTCTCATGTCATGAATGGAACGAAATGATTACGTGGTGGGCGGGAGGTATGATGGAAGGATGGATGGAACACTCTGGCTAAGAAGGAAGCTGGAAGAAGGCGGGAGCATTTAGATCTACTTGGTAGAATTAGTGTAAGGAAAGCAGCCCGTTTGTTGTTTTAGGTGTCAATGAGTCAGTCAGTTACATAGTTGACGGTTCAATACGAACCGGGATGATGATGACTACGAAATGCGACGATGAGATATCTGTGTTCGTTTACTGTTTAGAGATATAGGAGGATGGAACCCGACCACGCGCAGCATTTTCTTCCACATATATTGTCAGCTACTTGGTTATAGGGTTTCTGCATTGCGATGAGACATTACATACAGATTGCCTCTCACGGTCAAATATGTGCAGTAATTGCTGGTTCCGTCTTGTCCCGTCGTTTAAGTTGGACAATCATGTATCACGAGGAAGTCACCATATGTTATGTTGATGATGAACATGTGAAAAACAAAGACTTTTCTTCCTTGATAGAGTCGTCACCACATCTATCATATTTGTTCACTCCTGTACAAAACCCAAACCGCAGACACCGAACCGAACAAGAACAATATGGGAGAGTCCTTCCTGTAAGAAGAGGCATCTCGCCATTTGCACCGGAATGTGCCATCGTTAGGTGTTTATCACCCAACCCAGCACTGATGACAACGTCGCTTCTTTTAAATCACTCTGGATATGAAGAGAGAGAAAAACAGACTGAAGACAGACTGAATATGAAAGAATAAAACAGCATTGAAGGGATGACTTACTCACAATTACAACCCAAACACCCCAACCGCCCCCGCCACGCTCAATCCCAACATCATAACCCTCCACACCACCTCAAGCGAGGTACCAGCATCCTCATCATCATTTTCATCCTTTGCTGACCCCGACCCCGACCCCGACCCCGAGGTATCATCGGCCGTCGCCGTCGCCGTCCCCGCAGCCTCCGGCCCTCCACCGGGAAAAATAACCGTCGTACTACTCCCATCCTCTTCGTCACCTCCAATAAAAGGATACTCAATCGTCATGGTCCCCACCACCACCCCTTTTGGCCCAATAGTGACCGTCTGTCCACCACCGCTCAACACCGTCGTTATCATTGTTGTGCCATCCTTACCTCCAGTGAAGGTCGCAGAAGGACCAACGGTATAACTAACCCCATCCACCACCACCACCGACGCGCCCACCTTGGTAATCGTCGCGCCGCCGACTACTGCGAACTCGGTAGCAGAGGGGTTAGCGTGCGCGCCGCCTAGGGTTGTTACCGTCACCTCTGCTGCTGCTGCTGCTGCTGATGCCTCCAGATAAGGGTGGTTATGGTGGGTGATCAAGATTCCAGCAGATGGGTCGAGGACAATGGTATCCTCCCCCCCTTCGGTGACCACCGTCGTCAAGGGGGAGGAGAGAGTGGTATAAGTAATGGTAGTTCCGTAGATGGCTACCACAGACCGGCCAATGGCGGTTACTAAGGAGCCACCTACTACCACGACTTCTGTTGCTGTTGAGGGTGGTGGAGAAATGGATGTCACTGAAGGGAGAGACATGGAGAGGGTCTGGATGGTGATGACTGAAGATGCTGTGGCGATGACGTAGGAGGGAAGGGGTGCGGTGAGGGTGATGCCGGAGGGTCCGAGAGTGAGGGTATGCTGGCTGCCGTTGTTGACGATGGTGATGGTGGTGGGTGAGGAGCCCGAAACGGGGAAGGTGAGTGTAGATTTGGAGCTGCCGGTACCGGCGCCGATGATGGCTACGGAGGAGCTAATGATGGTGATGGGGACTCCGTCGACGGTGGTGGTTATGGGTTCGTTGTTGTTATTGTTGGAGCCGGGGCGGATGGTGATAGTTTGCTCGCGAAGCGGGGGAAGGGTGACGGTCGCAATGATGGGGTTACCTTTGGGGTCGATGATGGCAATTCCGCTGGGTCCGATGCTGATGGTATGGCCTTCGACGATGACTGTGGTGGGCGTAAGGGGTAGGGTGAAGGTGGAACTTCCGGTACCGATCACGGCCACGGAAGAGCTCACGATGATGGGCAGGTCGTTGAGTTTGGTGCTTGTGGGTACGGGGGCGTAAATGATATCTCCTGCTCCTCCTTCTCGTGCTCCTCCTCCTTTACTTGTAGACGGCCTGGTCACGGTAGCACCACCTCCTATTACCTGAGTTGGTCCAACCGTGAAGGTTTCACCGCCCACTACGACGGTATATGTCTTGGTCGCCGGATTGTCAGTGATCGTGGAACTGCCAATGATTACCTCCGTAGGCTTCACTATTACGGTAACTGGCTTGGGTACAGGTTTGGTTACCTCGCCAGGGCTGTTATTACTGTCGAACGTGTTGTACGCTGGTGGGTCAACCGGATCAACGCTTACAGCCGTAGGCCGAGGTGACTTTGTGACGTCGTTGGTTACGCCATAGTTTGGGGTCTGGATTGGCGAGTACATAACCGCCGGGTTCTTGTCTGTCGTGATGAAGGTAACTGTGGGTGCATACCTGATAGTTGTTGAAGTCTGAGGACCGTATCCCCAACTATTGGTGCTGACTGTCAATGTGCATGATCTTGTCCCCGAGCCACTCGCAGTGACGGTAAAGCAGGTGGTTAATGTAATCCCAGGAGGTGGTGTTGTTTTCGTTACCAGATCTATACACGGCGGGATGGTCTCGACGGAAGGCGGAATAAGCGTCGGGTAAGGCTGCGTGTAATTCGCTGGATTGCCGACCCATGTGATGGTACTTGTGTGCACAACTTCCCAACTTGTGATAGTTGCCGTCAGATCTGATGGCTGACAGTGGCTGATAGTACTTGATGATAACGTTGTCGTGGTGTTTGGAAAAACCGAGGCCCTGGTAATCGATGTTGATGGCTGATTGTAGTAGGGCGCTGACGTCTGATTCCAGAACTGCCCTCGAGTGGAAGGAGCGTGGATGGTTTGCGTGGAAGTGAAATCCGAGGTAGTTGTGGTAGGAACGTAGTCCCAAGAGGTCGGTATGTCCACCGGTGGCTGACCCAAAGAGACATCATCCCAAAATGACGCTGTCTGTTCCATCCATGGAGGAATTTCAGGAGGAACCATAACAATCCCACCCGGTACAGCCCCTACCGTGGGCATCGCATCGTTCTGACCGGGCGACTCGCTCTTTTGCTCAACCGGTTCATAGTTCCAAGCTAGGGATGAGGATGAAGTAAAGTCCGACGTAGAGGGCAACTGGGTGGTTGTAATGGTGGATCCTTCTTCGTCGATGCGGGAGGAGTAATCGAGCGTAGAGACGGAAGTCCCGATACCGTCACTGGGGTCTGTAAGCGATGGAGACAATACTATGATAAAAGTTGTCGATACAGCCCTCGGTGGTGCCACTGAAGATGGATTGAATTCCGTCAGCACTATCGATATTGGCGGTGCTGAGATCGCTGATTTCGAGGCATCTTGCGGGTTGGGTTGCAAAGAGTGTTGACTCTCAAGTCCCACCGTCTGTATCTCAAGCACAATAGAGGTTTGATGGGCACTCGTCACCTCAACTGTACCCCTAACTGGGGATGGTGAGATGTGTGTTTCACCTGAACCGACTGTGGTGCTCTGACTATGAGCCTCCGGAATGCTGCTGACGGTGACATTCCGAGGTAGATGATAGCCTGAGGAACAGGTTAGAGATATTGGTGAGCGTTGTAATCTCAAACGCACGACGGCTTACCTCCTCGAACAGTCTCTACACCAAGACATAGAAGCAATGCGACCGAAGGCAGTTTTCGCTTGCCCATAACCATACTGTCGTTGATCAACATGAATTAAAAAAAAACCTCAATCGATTTTCCTCAGAATCAGAGTCAAGAGAACCATAAAAGAGTTCAGTGTCATCAAGGTGCAGCGGCCATGGCGTCAGAAAGGGGCGGATGACAATTACAACTGGGGAGCCGTCCGTGGTAGTTCTCAATAACACAAAGCATAAGAAAAAGGACAAGAGAGAATAGTGAACTAATAGTCTGAGACGGGAAACCCCAGATGGAAATGCGCATGATATATAGTGTCTTGTCTAATTCGAGCGGAAGAGCAATTGCTTACTACACTGCGTCGACGAGACGGGTGCGGGCAGCAGGCCACGAGCAGAGAAGCCGGTCTCACTCAATCCAAACCCAATTGCGCCTCTCCGCCTCTTCGCGACCTTTTTCCTTCCATTATTTCCGTGTGACTGGTGAATAGTCTCGGAAAAATCAGGGGCGTCTTGTACACTATTAGGTCTAGGAATTTTTGTCGTTCCAGGCCGCACTGTAAGTATGTTTATTAGCTGAAATAACGCCGGCACCAACAACGCCGGGAGAAACTGAGGTTTTCCAAGAGGAGGAAATTGAGAGCAACAAGGTGCAGTGAAAAAGCATAGTGTAATGCCCAGAAGGACTGAATGGAAGAGCTACGCGGCATGGTATACCGTGCATCACTGCAGCTGTATGTAGGTACGTATGTGGGAAGACCGGGGAAGGGGTCAACGGAATGAGGCGACGTAAGGACTCATCGAGAAAATCTAGGGTCCCCAAGTTCCTCGCCTCCGACCATCAGAGTGAAACTAATAGTGTAGAGACATAAAGATGGAATGGTCGTTCATTAGTCAGATCGAAACTCCGAGGCGTTCTGTTAACAAAGGATTCATCCGATTTTTTTTTTTTTAGCTGGGCAAAGTAATCAATGAGGTCCATCTGGAAGCTGCCTTGCGTGGGTATAAGGGGAATCTATCTGATAAAGCCGTTGTATGTAATATGACGGGTAGCAACACCACACCGACGTTGGCTACTTTTCTTTTTAATGGTGCGTCGTAGGTAGTGGGAAATCCTACAGCACAATACACTACACTACACTACACTGACAAGAATTCGCTGTATCTGCGAGGAGGCGAACCACCACCTTTGTGCTACCTTGGAAATGGCGAGACCCCTCGGACAGGATGGGGCGTGGCGGGAATAAGGAAAAGCCAGAGCTCGATGATATGCATGCGATCCCTTGGTGGATGGTACCATTGGCGTAAATACAAGACGGCAACTCGTCTACATTTTACGCGGTACAGGCACTCGGCTGATCATCAGCTTTGCCGCGAGAATCATGGAACCTTCTCCCGAGACGTTCCTGGCTCAGATGTTACAGCAGAAGGATGTGATCCCACTAGCTATGTCTTTCTGTCAGCAGCATGCAAGATAGGAAAAGACGCATGTTTTTGCTCCTTTCGTGAACTCAAACTGAAGTATCTAATGTATACCTTCAGTCTCTGGAAGAGACATAATTTTGTTGCTGTTTGACTTTGGCCGTCTTGGGTATATCACGCAAGCGTCCTCCTCCTCCATGATGAATGAAACAGATGTCCCTATGGTGACTGCCGATATGATTGGAGACGCGAGCTGTTTGAGCAACTCGACAGTGCAATTCGACGTGTTCATGCCAACGCAGAGGCGTCATGTATTCAAGATCCAGCACCTCGGCGAAATAGTGAGACTTTTTCTCAGCAGGCCGAGGACATCTTGCGCCACGAGTGTGTGGACGCTGCGGATGGGCGCGGAGAGGAGGGGAGGCGATATCCAACAGCAACGCCATCTCCGGCAATTGGGAACCCTCACTACTGATGTTGCGACAAGTTGCCAACAAGCCGAGGTGCCCAAACATACTCAGATGTACACGGTAGTGCATATCAACAGCTACAGAGTCATATGTGCTGGCTTGGCAGGAAATACGACGCATGTGCTGACCCTCCACAGAATCGGTATCCTTGAACCTGGAGGCTTGAGAGGAATCCGAGGAGTGTGCATCTCAACTTGTTTGTAGGTTTTCCACCGCATGCTTGTTGTCCTTTAATAGGTCGTCATAGAGATTCGAACCTTTACTATTTGAATGATCTGGGCGGCTGGGCTGTAGAGCGACGCAAGATGCCGAGAGCTGAACCCTCGGTGGCATTGCGAGCGTTCTACAAGAACGCATAGATCGCTCCGACTGCAGTCATGAAACCCGTTCGGCAGCCAATGGAAAGACTCGACAAGCGAGGTCCGGACAGCCCGTTGGTGATTCTTGATGTTCAGATATTGTACCATAGTTATTAGATGAACGTATACGTTCGTGATCGCCGTTGGAATGCCTTGACGTCGCCGGTGTTCGTATCGTCATTGACCATCGAGTTACACATGATAGACGCGCCAACGTAGTCGAATACCCTCAATCTCATGTCTTACAGATGAGGGAAGGGACGAAAGATAGACTGCTAGGGTGCTGGGTATAATGGGACAAGCAAGAGAGATCCGTTATGTCGAAGGCCACACGGGCTGGTACGGGTGGCTACTTGACAGGAAGTTTTGGCAAAATCACAGCCGCGCATTTATCCAAAGTGATCTCACGCTGTTGACGGCGAACTATATTGGTCGCCCTCATATTGGTGGGTCCGGTTCGGGTTGACTTCATCCATAACGACCTCTAAGTCGTTGTTGGCCCAACAGGATAGCCCACAGACCGGAGCACGAGATGTAGGTTGAGGTCGGGGAATAGGTAGGCCACGTTCGTCTCTTGAACCCCTATCTAGTGAAGCCACGAGCAAACCGCCAACTTTGCAACTCGACTGCCCTCCTCGTTTTACCCCAGAACATGAGCCCGTTTCACCGGCACTTGCGTTTCAACCGGGTGGCATCAATGGAGCCGTGGTCCCCGCGTTTGACGGCACGTATGTGACTTTTGCTAGGCCTGCAATGGCAATGCGGAGGTACACATGGTTGTGGTTTATATGGAGGGTCCATGCCTATAGTATAACAAGTCGCCAGTGTCCCGTTGTCCACGATGGCAGTATGTCAACATGCGCATTCGGATTTAGCGTTCGGGGCTTGGACCTCCACGTAAGATATTCAATCTAGTGGTGCCTTTCTCTGGAATCCTCGCAAGCCTTGCTCGCCTCGGCAGATAAGCTTCAAGACAAGTCAAATCCGGTGTGGTTGGGTGAAGTGTGACTGGGTAACTGGCGGAGGTGCCATCACACATCCCATTGCCACCGGGGCTCGGGGTCGGCATGCTCGTCACTCCCTTGCGCCATTGCCCTATGGGACTTGCATGCCAGCGACAGGTGCGGTTCGCCCAAGTCCCATCTGGATGATTGTCGAAGCATGGAGGTTGCATTGCGAGATCGCGGTGTGGTGATGGCCTTCGGAGACTGTTCGCAGTGTCCCTGCTGATGAGGGACGAGTCCTGTGCATGTCATTGAAAATGAAATTAGGGAGACGTCTAACATTGCATGTGTGGCCGCGTGGAAAGAAAAAGTAAACAAAAAAAAAAAAAAAAAAAAAAAAAGGAAAGAAGAGGGAAAAGAAAACAACATGGAAACTAAGCCGTTGAGATTGATGATTGTGGCTTTAAAAAAATGCCCTGCACGGCATCGGAGGATTGGAGGAACCAATAAGTTACAGCCGGTGATTGGGCCCCAGTCGTTCCTACTTGTAGGTATGTAGGTCGCTAAACTCTTTACCCAAGCTCCCAAGATACCTACCGGACTATGTACCTAAGCTTCGGCTAAGTAAGAGCTAAGGTTCGGGTAACCGCTCATCTACACTAACTGAACAGCACAACCTTCAAAAACATCGGAGACCCTTTTCCTTCTAACTGACATGCGTATATCTCGAAACAGAGACAACGGGCGGAAACGAACAGAGGCCTCACGACATGTGCATAATTTAAATCATGCCATCAAGATATATTTCCATCTTGAGTGTCCCCTTGACAAGCACGTGCGAACAATGGACAGGTTGAGATATCCACTTGTTAAAGCTACATCACCACCAGTCAAGACGGGGAGAGGTGGGGAGAGACATGTCTGGATGCCCGGTCATAGCCTCTCCTCGCTTCCAACAACTGTGGAATGGAATGCCAGGAACTCGGGACACTTCCTTTTCTCTGTCTAGAGGTATTTGCTCTGCTTATCTGCTGACCACGGTGACGGACGACCAGTGTCTCTGACTTGTCTCTCCAGCCCGCCTCGTGCCCGCCAACCGAGAAGACTGAGGTGCTGTCAGGACCCGCGTCGTCCACTTGTCAAGCGCTGATCCTTCCGAATCAGACAAGTGTCCCGCGGCCGTACAACGTAGGACCATCTCTTTCCCTACCCGTCCGTCTGCGCAGACATTGCTCTGTCCAGTATTCTCGGTCTCAAGGGAGGCAGGCTCATTCCATTTCCCGGTATGGTCTTGTACAACCTGTATTCAAGTACAACAGAGTGCCACGACAGGCCGGGAACCTGGAATCCGTCCTTTGTAGTTACCCTTGGTGGTCTCTCAGTAGTCGTACATTGTCTCGCAGCTGACACCACCTACTACGTACCTACCTCTAGGCCGACAACTTTAATCTATCATCCTTCCCTCTTCGCCATCCGGAAGCTTCAGCTTCCTTCTCTTGCCCACGCTCTTTTCCGCTCTCTCTCTCTCTCTCGCTCTCTCTTATCCCTAGCCATCGCGTTCGATCCGAGCGGCTGGTCTTTGCCGTCGTCCCATCATTACACACACAGCTCGCTACCTACCCTGGGTACCAGATCATCCCCCCGTCCCGTCTTTTGGCACCACCTCGACCATCGTTCGTCTAGTTGCCCGCACATCTCTTCAACATCATTGGTCCCTGGCTTTTGGGTGTGTTCGTCCTTTTTGGTCCAGGTCCCGGTCCAGTCCAGTCCAGTCCAGGTTCCTGTCCGGCTACCAGTCAACCCGCTCGCACTTGGAGAGAAAGACGAACGCCTTACAGGTACTCTCACACCGGGCCTGTGGAACGAATGGGCTTTGCCCTCCTGGGACACTGGAAACAAGGCGTATTTTCATCCGGGGACAGAACAGACCTGCCTTACATAGGTAGTACGACAGCTTCCACTCCTCGACTGAGTGTTACGGCTTCTTGAATCTGTATAGGGCACAGGCGTGGATCGGACCGGAGCTTGATCGCGGCTCATGGAATACCAGTTCGTCCTTCTCCATGTCTTAGGACCCCGACTTCGACCTTCGCTCCCCTCTTGCTGCTGGTCGTTCCGGTACTTCTGGTGACAGACATAGCCTTGGACGCTTGCGTCCCCAGTCCGGCTGTCTGTCCGTCTACGACAACGCCAACTCGGGTCGCGCTACTGCGAAAATGCGGTTACCCTACCTCTCTTTCGCCGTGATTCCTACTCGCTTCTTGCTCCTGTCATCGGTGCCTTCACTTGTCCGTGCAGGTACAACGGCAACTTCATCACCAGAACCAGTATGGGTTCAACCGTCCGGGGAATGGTATGGTATCGACGGCACCTGGTCAAACTTCATGTTCGCCGTGGGTTCTCCCGCTCAGATCGTTTACCTCACACCTGCCACTGCCCTGTCCGAGACGTGGGTTATTGGGGCCGGCGGTTGCACATCAGGCCCAGGTAACCTACCATGCGTGGACGCTCGTGGCGGCGTCTTTGACTACCACATCTCGGAGACATGGCAAACCTTGGGAGCAGGTGCTTACGAGCTGGGTATGAACCACACCGGAGTTCAAAGAAATGGCGACTATGGCTTGGATACGGTTGCCTTCGTCGACACAATGGCCAGCTCCGCCACCTCCGTTGACGGTGTACTGATTGCTGCTGTCAATGCTACCGAATACTATCAAGGTTATATCGGACTTGGCGTGACTCAAGGCAGTATAGGCTCGAACGTTACCAAACCTCTCATTCCCCAACTCGTCGAAGTGAATGGCATGATTCCTAGTCACAGCTACGGATATACGGCAGGGGCGTACTACCGTGACACTACTAGTAAGTAGTTGAGGCTTATGATTGTTTTACCTCCAAGACTTTGAGCGATCAGAACTGATTTTATTTAGCAAAGGGTACACATGCCTCGTTGACTTTTGGGGGTTATGATACACTGAGATTTGTGCCACATGATACAACGTTCAGGCTCTACATAGGAAACTCAACCGCAGATTCTAATGACCGAGCGCCCACGGTACGACTTCGCGGCCTTACTGCTCAAGTCCCGTCGTTGGACAAGGCACCTGGGAATTGGACATCGACATCTCAGACTCTCGTCGCCATGAATGATTCTATTACCGCAATGATTGACTCGTCAACGCCGTTTCTATGGCTTCCAACCGACATTTGCGAACGTATTGCTTCTATTCTCGACCTGGTTTGGAGGGCGGACCTTGGTGTTTATGTCTTTGCGAACGGAGGAGAACAATATCTGAGATACAAGCGCATGAAATCCATCGATGAACTATCGTTCACGTTTACCGTCTCCAGCTACGACAACAGCGACAACTTCGGTTACCCCCTCAACATGCCGGGAGTGGTCAACATCACCATCCCTCCTGCAGCATTTGCACAGGTCCTGCGTTATCCTTGGAAGAATATCATCAAGTTCAATGAATCGAGCATACCGTATTTTCCTTTGACGCGATCAACAAACGAAACAAACAATAATCAGTATATCATCGGCCGAGTATTCATGCAGGAAGCATATATCATCACAAAGTACGACAAGGCCGCATTTTCTATCCATCAAGCGCTGTTTCCTGACAACTCCGCCACCAATCACTCCTTACAGGCTATCGAAAGGCCTCCGAATAGTCCTTATCCTGAGGGCCCCCCGGTGAAGAAGGTGGCCAAGAAGCCGTTGGGTGTGGGACAAACGGTGGCGATCGTGGTTAGTGCTTTTGCGGCAGGCAGTGTGATTGGACTGATATCGTTCTTGTGTTGCCGGCGAGGATCGAAGGTGAAGAAAAACCAGGCCCGTAAACTGGAACACAACTCAGAGGAGGTTACCCCCATACACAATGAACCAACGCAGAACCCGGTCAGCCGAATGCTGTCGATGTTTGTTGGAAGGAGGAGGTCAAGGAAACAATCATCGCAAAAATCGCAGGCGATTATGACCGAACCCGTCGAAGTCAGTGCGGACGCTCATCATCAGGTATTCGAACTACCAGTTCCACCTGAGCCGATCGAGTTGGACAATAATGACATTGGAAACAACGACCCAAACATGGGGCTGGATGGTCCTCGGGTGACGAGCGACTATGAGGCGGCGCGGCAAAAGCTCGAACGCCAACTTCAGGGACCGGTACCAACCTACACACGGACAACAGAGCACAACGAGCGTGCTGCTGGATATCCCCTTGAGAAGTCAGCACAGGATGTAACCCCCGTTCATAACCGTCCCAGCGAAGAAACATCATCCGGATCATCGCCCACGTACGCCAACACCGACTCCCTTCCCAACTCGCTGCCATCACCCCTGTCACCATACGCAGACTGGGCGGCCGGTAGAGTATTCGATCTGCCATCACCAATAACCGTAGCCTCTCCCGTGCGGCTACGTTATTTTCCAACGACGACAGGTTCTGACGCTCCGGCCCCCGCACACTCACCAGTCTCGTTGCACTCCCCTTATTCGCCTCACACATACCTTCCATCACCCGTGAGCCCTTCATCCGACTTTAACGGCGGTCCAGAATCCCCTACATCGCCAACCGGTAGACCGGCCCCACTGCCCGGAAGCGCAGCAATCCAGCGCACACCCATCGATCCCATCCATACCCAAATAGTTTGTCTCGGACCAATGCCGGAAAACGTGCGACTTCCTATTCCACATCATCTGCATCATCACCCGACAGTAACCCGCATTATCACGCTCGACGGTCGACTACATCCAGTGGAACAAAACGACCAACTTGCAGGAGATGTCGATGTCGATGTCGATGGTCTTCGGAGACGTTCAGATTCGGTAACCCGCGGTTCTAATGAGACCTTGGGTTCCAACTTTACCATGGAGGAAGAAAGCCGGTTGATGCAGGTGCAGATGGCTGCGCAGCGAAGTGCGGCGGCTCAAGAGCAAGCATTGCCGATATCACCAACATCACATCAACCACCACCACCACCACCACCACCACCACAACAACAACAACAACAACAACAACAACAACAACAACAACAACAACAACAACAACAACAACAACAACAACAACAACAACAACAACAACAACACAA